ACCTCATATAGTTGATGGGATTGGATCAGTCGAAACAAGTATAACTGCATGGTTTGATCCAAACACCATGGTGGACTATTCAGAAACAAGACAGAACACATACGTAGCGCGTCACACAGAAGCGATTAGCACGTGTTCTTGATTAGTGCCCACTGGGTCCTGATCAAAGGAACCCGCGGTTGACCAAAACATAACATCCAAGTTGTTCAAATTGACTTGTGCAACAGTAGCATTAGTCAACTAATATGGATGTGTAGGATTTTAAATGGTACAAATGATGAGGGTAAGATCCTTTCAAGCAAAATTAGCTGCGGTGTTGCTGCTTTTCACTAATGGATGTTGATGGACAGGTCCAATTCCTTAGCAGCTGACCGGCCGATAAAACTGATTTAGTGCGGTGATTCTTTTGGACAAGTGCTTGTCATGGAGCATTACGAGCCACCCTCTTCCAAACCCGCTTGAGGCTCCACCGAGTTAACAATTTGGAAATAATTACTCTCGCGATCGAGTTGTACGTATGATAGTTGATCGGGAAAGATCAGTACGTTGTTGTCGGAACAACTTTGGCTGATAGAGCATATATAGAGTGTATATAGAGTTTATATAGACTATATAGTGTATAGTGTGTATAGAGTGCATATTATAGTGGAACGGGGATGTTATAGGCTATATCGCTTCGTTAATCTGTGTACGCCACTTAGTGAAGGCAAATAACTGGAGAGCGACAGAGCGGTGGAAGACATCTGAGGAGTTATCGGCTGACTGTTTTCGGGACAAGTCAGTGAACCGTGCGTGCGAGCTGGAAACTGGTGGTGCCAAATATTATAACAGCAAAAGAAAAAGTAAGGCAACAGATTCTGGCTCCGCATCCAGCCCTAGCGACGAAAGCGGGTGACATACACGCAGTACTGATCGCACTAATGAGCGGACAATAATGCAAAGAGCAACTAAACCCCCCAATCTCAACTTGGAAGAAAAACTTGTTCAGTTTGCCGTACCCATTGTCCTTAACCCCATAGGACAGAAACCGAGCAAAGTAGACGGATGAAAGTCCGCCTGCCTCAGATGTGCATCGGTTTAAATGACGGATAGCAGCTCTAGCGTGTAACTTGGTGGGTACCTCCACAGATAACATATCTGACGCCTAGCATCACCTAGACTCCTAAAGAGAGGGGCAAGGCTCGCAGATCTCATGTCGGCCCTGGATAACAGAGTCATTGATTCTTCCGCTAATTTAGAGGCGGAAGTGCCACAGAGTATGCGAAAGGTCAAGACGGCTCTAAAAAAATAACCACGTATACATGAAAGGGCTGTATCATCTCGTCTGGTCGCCTTTGTTAGTGACGTCTTGGAAGGGGGGCGTAAGAATCGTTGCAGCTATTGATTTATCCACACGAGTAAGTGACTGGTCCTGATAGCTTGCTCGTCGCTTGCCGGGAGCAGTCTGAAACTGACCGAAAGTTGAACAAATGCAGGAAGACCTGCAAATAGTGCTTGAGTGAACCGATATTATGAATCTGGCAAGATGTTTAAAAAGCTAACTGCCACATGTATCAAGATGTATGATAAGACACGCTATGCACAGGAGCCTACAAATCTAAGGCAACGAGCTTATGTTAGGAAAAGCGGTTTCAACAATACACCCCGGACTACCGATGCTGCGAGTTTTCCGCCTGCATCCTAGAAACTGCCTGCTAACTCACTTCCATTATGGAGTAAGCCAGTGGAGGCCGATGTGCTTGCCACCGGATAAAACTTTGGATCACTATAAAAAGTTGGGAACATTATTCAGCAGGCCGTAGGCTGAGCTCTCTCAGTAATTGGGGGTTGAGCATGGAGCACCTTTGATAACGGGTGTCAAATTCAACTTCTTAAGGGTGCATTCTAGGGCCAGACGATGAACCCATGGAGCAACATCGCTAACGGGGTTTCTAAGGCTTTGTCTGAGCTATTTTTGGGTTTGTTTAAAAGATATCAAGCGCGCGATCCGATTTGGCACGTTACACAAGCTGTAGCCGTAATCCGAGGACGACTCCTCACCTCCCGAACGCAGGGACTGTTTTCTGTACCGTATCTCTTTATATAGACGCTGCGCACTGCCTGACTTCCCGTACCCGCAGGTATTTCCGTCACTTGTTATCGATTTCAGGGGCCCTCGCTGTCACCCCAACGATTTTTTGCTTCCTATGATTGCGCCGTTATTGGTTCTTGTTGTGCTTAATTCACAATGTTTTTAAACCGTTTGTCCGTAGAACCAGTTCTTGGCAGGTCTCAAAACATCATCTGCTGCAGTCTTATGTCTGTTCCTACGGTCTACTGAATACGTGTCCGGTAGTTGCCGTCGTCCGGCGAGTACCTTAGCATTCCAGTTCTTAAAACACTCCACATAGGGATTACTGAACCTACAATCGGGGACTGCTTCGGCAGTTCGCTATAAGCATACTTCATATTTAGTTGTCGGAACTCGTCAACATTTCATCTTCCCAAAAATTATTGATAACCGTTTTATGTGAACCATGCTACCCTCGTTACTTCTGGTCAGTTGTGTCGTCAAAAGCTGCGAAATCCCATTCCCTTTCCTTCCGATGAAAAAACAGCCCAAATCGGTGACTTGAATCGCTAGCTTGCACTCCGCTTCCCACCCATATGCAAACATACTGGATCTTTTGACTAACGTACGCCTTACAAACCCTCCAGGACGGTCCGTTATCATTCCAACAATAAACATCTACTATAGAGTTAATCAGACATTACCTAAGGACAAGGGGATTCACTGAGGCACAAACACTTGGCCAAACCCGCAACAAGCCCACAAACCGAGGCAGCGGAGGCAGTGTTTAGTTGCTTGTCCACAAACTGCCTCCGCCTTTTCAGCAAATTTTGTAATAATAAAAGGTCGGTTTGCCTTGGACAGCCGTCAATAATCGCGCTCCCAGAGACAGAGCTCACACCAGATGTCCCCGACTCGGTGTTCTAGATAGACGGCTACTCTACTTTTTGAGCTCACTCTAAAAAAAGGAAGGTTGGTAATGTTACTTTGTGCTTATGTGCGGCTCTGCTCACCCCGATTATCCTTTCTGACACCACTCCTGCACCTTTTTGCGATGGGTTCAAATCCCGCTGCGCAGGTCTGATTCTCTTCTTCTCGGTGTGGTCTGTCATTGACCCCGAGCCCCCTGAATGACCAACTCCTCATCCAAATACTTGAGCACCTCTTTCCCAGCCACCACTCCACTAATCTCCTGGTGGTAGGTGGCGTCGACGCTCCAAAGCCTCCTGAATAGAGCTCTGACGCACCGGGTCAGGTGAAAATATTGCGGCGGCCCTGCTTGAAGTTTTTTAAACAGAGCACTTTGACTCAGCATATCGTTGCACCCACCACATACCACGCAGGATAACCAACAACCCTTATGGATCCGGTCATTTCCTATAAAAGACACTTCGCTGCTTAGGTAAAAATTGACGCTCTACTGGGGCATAACGACCACTGTGTACTGACCTTTGATTTCATCAGCTGCTGGACCAGAAATCCCGAAACTCAAACGTGGTTACGAAACATCTGCCGTGCAAATTTCTCGGAAATACGCACCTTTCTTGATCAAGTCGAAATGGAAACTTATACAGTGGAAGAGTTATAGTGGAGGATTTATAGGAGAATTATATGTAAACATTGCCCAGAAAGTTCAAGAGCCTGACGCAATGTTCGTCCCAATAACAACCAGCACGCAGTCGGATGAGCCGCGAGCCACCTAAAATGATTCGGCGTCTTCTGGAAAAGAGGCCTTGACTTTTTTCAAAAAGTTGACTACATGAGGCACATAAGATGAGCTGGCATTTCGCAAAGTGCGGAACCGCTGTAAATCAGAAATCCGCAGACGGAACACACAAAATTAAACCGCCATACTGTGCCTCGCTTGGAAAAACAGAAATGTGCTGTTCAAATTCATAAGGCGTCGCAGCAGAAACAAGTCATCAGTGTTCTTTTTGAGGGACAGGAACGGAGAGCCCACGAGTGACCCAACAGTGGCATCTGAAGTTCACAGAGAACTCTATGCAGGTCTATATTCGTCCCCAGCGTCCTCGTCACATCCACTTTTGTCAAGGCGTAACTGCGAACGGCCTCTAACTGACTTGGCCTTACGGTGGAAGAAATTCGTCTCCTCTTGCACAAAATCAACCCATATGCAGTTGGAGTTCGACGGGATCCATCCGAGGATCCTGAGAGAAACGTCGTCCACACTGGTAAATCATTTATAACTGACGTTTCGTCAGTCGCATAACGAAGGCCGCCTTCCCACTGCTTGGAACGGAGTGATTTTCACGCCAATCTACAATGCTGTTGACAGACAATCGCCTGGGATTTAAAGGCTATAAACCTCACCAGCGTGTCGTGCGAGGTGGGGGAACGCAGTTTAAAGCTTGCAGCAACCTGATGTCTCCAGCTCAACGAGGAGTTCTCCCAAACCGTTCCCGCATGACAAACACGCCTGAGTTTATGGACAGCGTAACCATAGCCAAGGAGAAGGGACTCATATCGGATGCCAAATTTTTCGACATTCAAAAGCATTTTATAGGGACCCACATGTCCCGCTGCTCCACAAACTCGTGCCCTATAGGATTCAAGGGAAAATTCTTCACTGGATCAAGGCGATCCTATCAGACAGATCATTCTCCAGCGCCGGTCTCCAATGGAGTTCCTCAAGGCTCCGTCCTGGGACCAGTGCTGTTTCTGATTTACGTCAACGACCTCCCAGACGTTCCTGCAAGTTCATGTCTACTTTTTGCGGACGACTTGAAATCCTGGAGTTCCAATGCCAGTGCCCCCAAAATGGAGGTAGGCGCTGCAAAGCAGTGGTCGTTGGAGTGGCACTCGCACGGACTTCCAAAAACTCTATGGGGCCTACGTCAGACCGCTCCTGGAATACGCCAACCAAGTTGTTTACTCACGACGCACGAAAGACATCACCCTCGTTGAGCGTGTCCAGCAAGCCGCTACGAAAATGGTTGTCGGCCTCAAATACGTAGACTGTGAAGCGCGTCTCGCGATGCCTGATCTCTTTCCCCTGGAGTGTCGTCGCCTCCGAGGGGACTTAATTCTTACTTATGCCCTGTTTGAACAAAGCTTGGCCAACAGGTTTTTCATCGTTGACCCAGAAAACACACGGCGGGGACACGGTAAGATGATTTTCAATCTCAGAGCGCGCACATTCATTAGGCGAAATTTTCACCCACTTCGGGTAGTGGCTGCGTGGAATAACCTTCTTCCGACGATTGTCCACGCTCCTTCTAGAACCCAGTTCGAAGCACCACTTGCACTTATTTATGCGGGTCCTCATGCTGGCAAGCAAACTGCCCCACGCTGAAACCATAAACAGCAATGCTGCACTCTTTTCTCACTTGTGCCTTTCAGGTGAACGACAGTCACCGACCTACTAGAACAAAACCGACCCGGGAATCTTGGGCAAAAGCCTCGATCCTGTGTAGCCCTGAGGTACCCATAATCCGGACAGTACTCTCAGCTGCAAAACCTTTACAAGAGGAGTAAACCCCCCTAAGCTATAAGGTTGCACTTTGCTGCGTATTTGCTCAAATCAAAAGCCGTTCTAATCCTCCGGCTGGAAAGTGTAGTGGTTTGGCTACCCAATAAGTTAGTTTACCAGGTGTGTGGCAAAGAGATAAAAAATGATTACGCTAGGTTGGTTATACAACAATAAAGAGACCAGACGGAACAGACTCACTAACAATTGTTCTCTTTAAAATAGTTCGTCGTTGGCCCAGGTCAGCGAATAAACAATAATCCAATTATGTTGGTCCAGTGGTCTTCTTCTGAACAGTTCCCACGTATACTAGATTCAGAAGATGTCTGAAATGTTTTGGTACCAGAGTTAGTACATAAGACTCGCGAATGACCGCTGCAAGCGCGAGCAAAATCAGAAGAGAGAGTCGAAGCACGTGACCACGCTTGTATTCTGTGAAGTTGTACAAGTGCGCGTTTTTGTAGTTTTTCGTATTCAGACAAAAAACGACTATGCAATTGATGAAATACGTAGTGTTACAATGGAAGTAAAATAAAGGTACAAAACGCCACAAAAGTCTTGTGGATTAATTTCCCAGCATCGCCGAGACCTCAGGATGCCTTGATAATGCTCCAAAGTTTGGACAGGTACCCCCAAATACATGCCCGATTGCTTTTGTCAATCAGGGACATATCATAGCTTTCGAAATTTCAACTCCATTGTGCGAATGCTGTGCATCCTCGGTGTACCATCGCCTATGCAAATGTGTATTCAGCGCCAAAAATGACGCCATTGTATTGCTGTTCTGGAGGCAGTGAACGAATCGCTTATCGGTATTTACATTTAAATTGTAGAGAGTTGTCGGTGGGTAAGTTAGGAAAACTCATATGGACTTGTTTTGTTGTATTGCTGTGCTGCAAACAGTGTCAAGCCAAAGTTTGTGCTCTTTCAAAAAACTCTATACATGACGGTTATTTGACCGTCAAATAACCGGAAAACACGGTTATATGATGGTTATGGTGGTGAAAATAATAGCCTGTTAACCATAAAATGTGGGGTGATGCTAATTCCACAAACTCGGAAGAAGTTTATCGTTAGTTCGTCGCATAGGAATTGGACCTGCTCGATGAATACCTCATTTTCCACTGTATAGTTATACTTGGTCGCTGAATGGCGCTTTAGGTATCGCTGATTTATGTCAACAACACTCATCACATGTGTGTAGAGAGCGTGTAAGGCGCCGGGGATTATATTTAAAAAGTTGCATAAGCGAAAACGTGCTTTCTGATTGCCTCGTTACGGATTCGCCGATAGTAACTCACCCAAGCTATGGTTCTGAGACAACAGTTGTCAAAGGCATGAAGATGCCTCGGGTTCGCTGGTTAAACAGGCCAAGTCTCGCAGCCATACTACAAAAGTGACCCATAATGTAATCTTATACACACGTTCCTTTATATTCAGAGATACACCGCTTTGGCCCCTTGGTGTCTTAAATTAGCAAAGGCGACTCGATCTTTGCAAAATCGTGCATTGACATCATCTGTTACACTACAATCAGAACTGGCATGACAACTAAAATAACCGGATACATAAAACGCTCCACAGCTTTGGGTGCCTCTTAATGAATTGGAATTGGCATGTTCCATGACTGTATATCTAGGAGCTTTGTGCACTCTCAAACTTCCAAAAATCTGTGAATACCAAGACCGTATTCTGTTCACAGGCTGGATAAGAAAGCTTGTCAAGGAAATCAAACCGGTCAACCAAATCTACTGCGCCTTAAAAAATCCCGGAATATTAAAATTGTGGGTAGTTTATACGTATAATGTTGCTCTAGCATCTGACGGAGTGTGCAAAGTTCGTAAATCCAACCCCTATCAGATCGGGCTCCAGCTTACTGCTTTTGAGACAGTGTTTTACGAGCCACCATAAGGCGACGAAGCACAAGTGACACTAGCAGTGTCTTTATGACGGGGATCAAGCTTATCTCCCTGTGGCCACCAAACCTACTACAAGCCATTTTTTAAAATGGACACAATCGCCGACTCTCATCAGTTGTCTGAGACAGTCTGGTTTTCTCAACTCAGGCGAACAAATCGGGCAAATGCGAATATCACTATCGCCACAACTTTTCGATTTTTCATTTTTTGTGACCTATTAGGGGCTCTCAAAAGGCTCCAGCAACAAATAGGACATTAATTTGGTTCATATACACTGCAACCGCGTTTTTAAGTGTTTTTTCCAGTGACACTCCGTCTTTGCCTAAGGTGTAACGTTTTTTAAGTGTAATCCATGGTGACTTACACGGTCCCCACATGCATGTGATGAGAGTGTTTTGACACAGCGCCATTCAGCGACAATGTATAACTATACAGTCGAAAATGAGATATTAATCGTGCAGGTCCAATTTATATGGGTTAAACTAACGAGAAATTGTTTACGAGGTTGTGGTAATAGCATGAACCGGCAAATGCTGACTGAGGACTTAACCCCCATTTTTGAACAATACGGGTGGTCGGTCATCCTGACCAGATTCTTGCTGGATCTTGAGAAAACATATGCAGTCATAAACCCCCGAGACCGTATGGTGTTCCGAATTTACCATCCATGGTTCTCCGTTAGCTATGAGCTCCGGATGAGTGGCAGCTGGTTGCCGCGATAACTGATGTTCGAAGTATTTGTTGCAAGAGTTGAAGAAAGGGTGCTGGTACAAATCACTGCAAAAGCTTCTTCACTTTGGCTTGATCGATAATTAAAACTAAGCTCCCCAGATGGGGCGTCTCAGCCGCCGCTGCAAGGGCAATTAAGCATGGCCTGGATTGTATCCAAAGACGCATGATTTAGAACAGATTGAGATAGTCCTGACGGTTTCTTTACTTTCATCACACTCATTTTTAATGGAATTTGGTTTAGGAACTTTACATTTTGATTACGTATATCTGTTTTTCTTTTCTACATTCTTCCTGAACTTATTGTTTGAGTACCAACCCGAGCTATCCTACAGTGGTTTTCACCTGCAAAAATGTCTTGCTGAGGGAAAGGTCCTGTGACTGCTTTAAACCATCTGCGACTAATTTGACTCACTTAAAAAGTTCTTCAACTGTCGTGCAGCCCCTTCAGATTGGCTTAAAAACCCAATAAATATGTACGTATATGCATATATACTTGACGCTTACTTTTGCTTTCTGGTACACGAACTTTTACTGGTGTCAGATATCATCTAACATACCCTGTTATCTCGGATGAACCTTGTTTAACCTCACCAAGTGATAGGGAGCAAAAGTACTGTATGTACGCACCATGGATGCACACAGTGCTGGTGCGGACCTGGTCGTTGCGAGCGAATACCACTTGATCATAAATCGAAAAGACCGCACTAACACTAGACACGGAAGAAATTAGGGTCGTTAGCTTGCTACATTACACTGTTCACTGGAACACCATACCGTCTTTCAGTGTCATACTTCATTCTTACGGCGATAGTACACGGCTATTCAGGAAGAAATGAGCCATATCACTCAGAGGGTGCAATCTCATACTGGAATTGCTTTCCACTGACAGTGCGTATTACGTTTGCCGCACCCCTGAGCAAGTTACCAGTACGTGAAACTTGCTGCTAGATACACTGATTGAAATCTCGAAGTCTAAATGACAACGCACTTTAAATGGACATTATTGATAAGAAATGTCAATCACTAGACAGATTCCTTCTTCTGAATGATGAAAGGTGTCCACGCATTGTTTTGACGGGAGCAGGGAGGAGCTGAGGGTGTGGTTTGATTGCGTACAGAAAGTATCCAACTACTTGGTGCTTGTTTATCACGTACTGCATATTTTACAAAAAAGTTACTCCAAAGAAGTCAGTTATTCAGCGATCCGGATGACTATCGCGCAGTGATTTTCAGCGATATCTTGGGTATTCTGACCAAATCGTTTCGTCCGGACTCAAGAAAGGCTTAAAAATTTGTCGACTAAAATGGTTTTTGGCCTCACATCGATCGACTATTAAAGTGTGCCAAAGATCCTCCACGGTTCCAACGCAATCTTCTTTGGAAATTCAAGGTACATTGATGTTTACAATAAAAGCGGACAAAGGCAGTACAATTAGGCTTATCAATATTTCCGTATTTCTTGTTTTACTATTTTTTTCTGACCAATTAACTGTTTTTTCAACGACAGCAGAATAAGTGTTCTACTAGGATGTCGCGTTTACTTGAAAGCATTTCCCTTCTAATTTCAAAATTAGTTAGTGGAAGAGCCTCCCATTCGCATTTATTGAAGGCACATCTAAAATTACTTACGTACACTTTTTACCATGGCTACTATCGTCGGAAAATTTATTGTCCAGAACCGAGGTCTTTAAAAGTAGTGTTAAACTCCTTATTTCAAGTTCTGCCTGTCAATTGAACTCAAGCCTGTTGCACACCGAGAATGAACTAGGTCCACGAAGCTCAAGCAAGTGTTCTGTGCCCATATATCGGCTTTAGAATCCATCAAGCATCAGTTACATTATGGTTGCTCTTGAGTTATCATTTTATGAAAGATATAAGGGTTCAAATACAAATGCGGTTTAGCACTCTTAAACGCCATCGGAGACAGTGAGACGGTAATTCTGGTTTGATAAAACTTCTTCAACGCGCTTCAGGAAAAACTGGACCCGAATCTAAACGGCAATTCATGCGTACTCAAAAAGTGTGCATCAATGAAAGTTCAAAGCTTTTTTGGATGGTGTCAACGAGGCTTTTCAGCAAGTTGTCTTCCGGACTTATCACTTTCGGAAAAAGTTAAACATTGGAGAAAACATGTTCCGTCATATTGGGTTTTAAGTGCGCAGCTGAGCTGGGTTAATGACCGAATTCCGCTTCTAAAATTTGGCATAATAAGGACAGTAAAGTTTCGTGCACCATAGGAGTGATTACAAGGCAGAGTTGTCCACTAAGGGAGAAGATTATAGTTCAGATCACAAGAGGATAGCCCAGTGGTTACGGCGCGACCTTACTGACCGGAAAGTTTGCGGTTTTAACCCCACCTCTGTATTCCAACTTATCCCGTCTATGCTTGGGCAACCTGGCAGTGTCCTAGCCCTCGTACTCCTCTCTTGTGGCATGGCAGTTAGGCACCAAAAGAGTTTTACAGTGTGATTTTCTTTTAGTTTGCCACAATAATAAAAAGCCTTTGGTGTTGTCGTCACTGTTTTGTATGTTGGAAGGACCGATTGAAACAACCGAGAAGGGGAGGGAGAAAGAACCATGGATTTTAGATTAGCGCAACAATAGGCTTATGTCAGACATCCTATGCTTATCGCTGACTTCAGTATCGGAAAACATACATCTATGTTTTTGACCCCTTTTTGTTTTCCTAAACTAGCACTTTCACACGCAGAGTAGGAGTTTGAGAGCTTGGAGGAAGAAGCTTTTATGTGTCTGGCTATTCGCTCGCTGGGCAACAGACACTCACATTTCCAAGAATTTCCCCAATTTCTGAGCTGGCAAAAGGCTAAAACAGTGAGGTCAAGAATATGATCTCGTTTATCTGAAAGTAAATTGTCCTGTGAAAAAATTTGCAGTGTCAGCGACGAAATTTTGACGAATTTCTGCAAAAGGATTATTTACACTAGGTTCTCGAAGATGAAGTATCCGAGCATCAAATACCACTTTATCAGTGTGGAACATTTTCATTATATTTTGAGCAACCGAGATGGCGGTTTGCCTCGCAAGATGATTAATTAGTGTGTCAAAAGAGAAAATGGTAGTGACGTTTCCGAGGGGTTTCCAGCAATTTTATGATTGGTGAGTTGCGCCATTGATTTTGATGTCGACTGGGGCATAAAAACTGATGATATAGTTAGCGTATTTGACTTTCGACAGCGCTGAGCTCACTGGACACGGTTTCATTCAACCTGTCCGATAGTTTTACAAAATGTCACGGAATATACCGTGACAAAAGCGAAAGCACAGCATTCAGAAGATGGTGTCTTCCAGGCCATGATAACCCGTAATTTTTGGCTTCCAGTAGCGACACGTTTTTGTTCAAAAGCGTATTTCACGTCCAGTTGCTTGTTTCCTCAGTCCGCTACTTTGATGTATTAGTAAGCTTCAGTTACGCAAAAGGTTGTCTTGTATGTGGAACTTTCACTTCAGAATTCCTACTGAGTCTGAAAATTCTTCAGGACTACTAAAGCACTTGATAGTCTTTAAATGGATTGTGGAGAGTGTGTCCAAAACTTGATGGCGCTTCCAACAAACGCCATCTGAAGGCATTATTCACTCTCCTAGGTATCCATAAAAGATGTGAGTCACGAATTCATTTTGGAAAACCTGAGCTGCTTGGTCTATTGAGATACATAATAGATAATGGAATCTGGAAATGATGGGGCTGCAAAACGGATCAGATCATCCTTCAGTTTACACTGCACCCACGATAATTCTCGGATGAAGCTATCTATCTGAGCAGCGAACCAGTAGACACGATACACTTTGGAGCCACATTTGCAAAGTCCACGAAATGTAACTAGGATATATCACGGACCGTTAGCAGCACAAATCAACCATCAAATCAGAAGGAAAGCTGGATGAAAATAAAACCAATATACAATGTCGATATGGAGTAGCGGGCACTGCATAACCAACAACACCCACAGGTATTCTATCATGATAGTAATGACTTGACCTGACGTTCTGCAACTGCATCGGTGAGCTTAGTTCATTTGTTCAGGTGAGGTTTTCTCTTGAAGTGAGAAAACGTACTACCCTGCACAAGAGTAAAGCAGGGATTATTATTAAGAGACGGCTCGTTTCTTTCTGTCTCTATCAAATCTGTCTTAGTCATATGTTACTGTTGTTCTAGCCTTCCGATGAGTGCCTTACGGCCAGGTACGGCGTCTCGATTGAAGACAGCCCAGGCGCAAAACGCTGTTGCGGCTAACATGCCAGCGGGAATCGCCACTCGCCTAACTACTGGCCTGAGGCCCGGCACTCGAGCTGCTGTTGGTGCCACTCTAAACACTTCGGTGCAAGTGGAGGATCGTCCAATTACACAACAGGGTCTTAGTGGTCTAAAGACCGCCACCCGAGGCACTCGACGTCAAATTGAAGACAAACCTTATTTCCTTGGCCTATTGAGAGGGAAAATCAATGAAATTAACCTGGAAATCAACAATCTGACACGCCAAGCCATGGATGCCGAGGAAGAGAATGCAAGTTTTGTGCAATATGAGCAAATGGCCGAAAAACTGGCTTTTGAAATAAAAGAGTTACAGGTGGGTTTTTTGTTGTTGAATGCATATACAAGACGGACACTCTTTTTGGTTGAATGACCATAGAAAGGATGTATGTCATATTTTTTAAGCTCACTGCTTTTCTGTAGGTACCATTTGGATTCAAGTCACTGGTCTTCAATACAGTGTTTTTTCATCGTAATGTGTGAATGGAAGGTGTATGTTCGAGAGCCCGACCAAAGTCCTAGTTCTATAAAATAGTATTATAACCCTCGGGTAAAATGGTCAATTTTCGAAAAAAAGTTTACTTGCCTTGAAATCCGTTTGCTGTCCCTTGTCATCTTTTTGTCAGCGCGAGTTTTCTTTAGATTTTCCCTTTTCTGTAGAGTGATGTGGAACGTAAATTACTCGGCATACCAGATTTGGCACAGTTTGTTGTTACACCGCCGTGGTCGAACATAATTCAACGGTAGCATGGTGGCTTTTGTCTTTGTATTCGTGTGTGCTTTTTAAATTCACAATCGTATTCTACCCAGTGGAGCTTCACGACAGTGAAGCATTGGTGTCAAACACTGATGTCATGCTGTCGATGATGATAATGATGACTGAGTGAAACTGGACTGTATTTCTTGTGCTTTTGACGTTCCAACATTTCCATCACCCATGTAATCAATGAACGTTCATTATAACGTAGAAACCTACTTGATGGCTTTTCTGAAATTGGAATCAAACAAAATTTACTTTTGTAGGATGAATTATACTTGCTATATTGAGATTTTTAGTGGCTACAAGGGATAGGGGCATGATGAAGCAGTTTTTTTTATGTATATCAGCGTGATTCCAGATGGGTTAGAGCGTGAATTTACTAACCGGAAGGTTCGTGGTTCGAACCCAATCTCTGTATGTCGACTTCCCCTGTCTAGGCTTCGGCGACTTGGCACTATTGTAGCCCTCCTGCTCCCTTCAGGTGGCAAGACAGCTAAGCACGGAAAAAAATTGTTACGGCTGAACGATTTTCTTTCCCAGAGGGTACTTATAGTTATTTAAAATGTGCGCATCACTTTGCAAATATACAGCTTAACTAACGTTTTGATATACATCCAGTAATCTAAGTTTCTTTGCACAGTACGCTGGCTCTGGGATAAGTTCAGCATATTTGCGAACGATACATTGATTCGTATTCACATGTACGTCCGGTTCACCCTCCGAATTCAAGGAACGAACGTTGATTCTGTTACTGTTGGTCCGTTTCAAAACTGGGTTTGAAGATGCCGCATCTGTGTGTGTCTCAGTCGCTGACCGATGCATGAGAGCGCTCAACACAGAGTTTGGTAATGAATTATTGCCAGCATTAGCTTTGTGTTTTTCATCCTACTGTTTGTCCTCACTGATTTGAGAAACAGAAGCCGATCTTCTCTTATAATGCGGTTATCTACTGCCCGGAGTCGTTACGGCTAAAGTGACCCTTACCCAAGCTGTGAGCTGCTTGGTGGTTCGTAGTATTCTTTGAATTGTCCTCAGCTAAGCCGATCATTTTTGAGCCCCTGCTGCAAAGTACATCTCATGATGTCTGACAATGTACACAAGCCATGGGACTACTGTTTTTGTGCAGTCAATGTACTGTTGTTGTTGTTGATGATGATGACGATGATGATGATGATGATGATAATGATAAGGATTATGAAGAGGAGAATGGTGGTGATACTTAGTCAGCATCAGTAGCAGAGGCAGCATACATACTTGTTGGTTTGTTCGCTGAAATAGCGGTTTATTTTCACTGCAGTTGAACTGCACAGTTCAGTGAACAGAGTATAACAACAGTCGTTGTTCAGCAAAAGAAATAGATGTCAAAATTAATGACAAGAGCTTGGCCTAACTTCCAGCCTACCCTGTTTGGCAAACTAAACGGATATTAACTGATAACATGGCCTTTGTTTTGCTGAAAGGGTGGTCTTTGTTGGAGAGTAGTATAGCTAAGATGATTAAACTTTCCCGCTGACATTTTTGGGATAATTTGCCAGAGTCCACGTTTTGTTTGGGAATCAAGTGTGGAACAAATAAACAGTAACACTGTGCACCATAATGGCAACAGAATGGACTCTGTCGTGGCTGAGAAACGAAGTGCTGTGCTTCTTAGTCGACCGAAAAGGAGTATTTCAACTAACTTGCCGGCCGCATAGACAAATAGGACACTACATGATCAAGAGGTATATGTTAGAGATGTATCATGTGATCACTTGGTTGATACTGTTTAACTGACCAATGCGATGCGCATGCATTTCACCTCCGTGGTTGATTTCGCCACTGTGCAAACCGGTGGTCTGTGTCACAGACGTTTGCAAGTGAACTGGTGTAGTGGTCAACATCGATGCTTCCCAACATCTCCACTGGGACTTGTGGCCCAACAGCACCACGGTACCTACAACAAGTATGGAGACGAAGGTTGCTTTCCATCATCAGTAACTACTGGGAAGCGGTGAATTTTGTCTAGATTACTGATGGGGTCATTTCTGAGTGCAAAGCAAAGCGCTTGTGCATGGTCATCTTCAGATCCTCCATAAAACAGTAGTTAAGATGCACGAGATACGATCATGGGAACATTCCGTTTCTATAAGACGTTTACGTACGTGGAATCTGACTACCCATAGTCCATTTTCTTCACTTCCTGTTAAATGAAGTCTAATTTGATATTCTCCCGATGTGTCACGTCCTCGATGGTTGAGTGTTCGTTAGGGGAGCTTTAGTTTGGAGCTTCTGATCACACACATTTGACCATAGTAAGCTTGACTGATACCGACACCAATTAAGAGAAAACTGGAGCTTAACTACCGTAAAACTCAAGGGGCACAGGTCAAAGTCTAGGCACCTACAGAACGACACCGGCACTTCACAAACCTCGGTTTGCTATATGCAAACATTCACTCTGAATAGCATCCGGGGTTGAAAAGTCAGTCAGCAGTGAGAGGATGAAATTTCCAGGGACGCAACTCTCCGAGTCACTGATATTCTATGACCTTGATTTTATCCCACTCATCTGGTCTGTTCTGTTTTCTAACGACAGGGCGAACTAGGCGATTACAACACTTTGGTGGACAAAGCTACTCTAGGGGATGATGTGAGTAACGTGGAACTCGACTGGGAAGAATTGCGGGCCGCCAACGAACGGGCGGAGAGAAGTCTGGAATCATTGTTTGAGGAAAGACAAGCAAAAGAGCGAGCACTAAAGTCCGCCGAAGAGGATTTGAGGCAAGTAAGTGCAGTTTATTATCTTGTTTTTATCTAAGATACATATATATCCCTCGAACAATTGGCTTTCCTGGTTCTGGGAAAATAAGGACCGGTTGATAAACCGACTAAAAAGTCTAGTTTCATACTCCACTTTCTCGTAAGAGTTACTTTCTCTCAAAGTTTAAGAGATACGTCGCGTATTACAGTGAACGAAGACTTTCTGAGTAGAACCTGTATGCTTCAAGTTTCAAGCTAGGAACTGTAAAGAAACTAAATAAAGTCAAAGAATTTCACATTTACATCAGATAAGTAAGAATATGGGCTCTAACCAAGTGTCTGATTTCATCATCATCATCATTCTCAGCTGTACTAACCGCGTACTTGTCGCACAGTGGTTGTGGCTGCCAGTTTCGTTCACAGATGATTCGGGGAGGGGGGTAGATAGCTGCGCATTGGAGGCGGGAACTGACAAGTTAGTGTGTAAATACAGCATTGTCAGTGGACTGATAAATTGAGGGAGTGGGAAAGGAGCTTTGCATTGTAGTCAATAGCTTGGATCCACGATCGCCATGGAGACGCTACTGGGCCATATCTCGCAATGTCCCTAATCATTGATGTGGCCCGTCTCGGGGTCCCCATCCGGGAAGACAGCAATGACCAGCGCAGCTGAATTAGCTGGTAATGGCTTCTATACTTCGCTGCCAAGTCATTGTTTGGCAACTTCTGGCTCTATTCCACCCTTCACGTGGTTTTGCGCAAATAGCCCTTCGAGTTAAGACACTGTAACTGAGATAGAGACTCATGTGGCTGTTTGGAGTTAGCTATGAGATAGCTGTATTCCTCCCTAGTTTGTAAGACCGTATGGCCTCTAGAAATCACTCTTGTGATCAGGAACTAGAAATTGCTACGAAATGGCAATTCCAGCTAACGATTGAGGGATGTAGGGAAACAAATGAAATGTTCATAAAGGAAAGCCTATCCAAATCNTTCCAGCGAACGATTGAGGGAGTGAGGGAAACAAATGAAATGTTCATAAAGGAAAGCCTATCCAAATCGGTCGACATGGCAGCCACTACAGATAAGTGCACAGCAAAGGTGGTGTAGGATCCAGAAAACCTCAGGGGGCACCGGCATGACCGCTTGTTTCACATGGATGGTGATTTAATTTATGATTCTTCTTCTGATCAGTATTGATTAGAATGTTTCACACCAGCAGCGATCGATTGCCACACAGGACCTTGTGATTATCAGCCCAATGGATTGAATTTTCACTGAATGCTAACAGTAAAGGCTAGGCCTCGTCCTGAATCTCTGGGTGGGCACGTTTGAGAATTACAGTCTAAAATAGGAAACCAGTTCGATCTACGCCCACCTGACGGGGCCCATTAAGGACCGAACTGAGGGCCTGAGAACTATTTCGGTCAAGCATTCTGACTCTCTAAGATGGAGCACTTTTTATGGGCCACATCCCAGTTGCAATGACTGCCTAGAACCCGCTGATTCGCGGGAATTTTGTAGCTCTAAAATCTGCTTGCCGTATTTTGTTGTGGGTCGTACATCCCCGCACACCTCTCGTTGAATCAAAGCCTAAGTCAACTACAACCACCTCACGATGACAACACCAGTCTCAGAAAGGGTTTACTTTCATGAATTTGCTTACCGGCACGAGATGTGACAAAAATACACCGCTTTGGGTTGACTGGTGGATATTCGCTGCCCAAAGCATTACCGAACCCGGGATTAAAAAGTCCCCGTTTCAAGACATTGAAATAAGTAAACAGCGATGGCCGTGTGAGGAGCTTGTCCGGCAAACATGTATGAAAATGGCAGAAGACTATTCACATACCCTAGGAGATGATTATAGTGATTGAAATGAATTAGCCGACAAAGTATAGCTACACGAAGCAGCAGCATCAGCAAGCAAAACGCAAGAAGTTTGGTTGGCAAAACACCATCACAACGAATTGGCGGTAGGTCATAAAAATCATATTCTTTTGTGTTGCTTTTTGATTCGCCGAGTTTAAAGTACCGTGTATGGCTTATGCCATAAAATATCCGGTTCAAAATCAACGGTGTGATTTAGTTGAGCTTAACATCGGGGATATTTTTGCGTGTTTGCCTTCACACTGTGGAGAACACATCGTAGACTGCAGGATATAAAGAATAGATGGGTTGGAAACCGTCTGAGCGTTCTGATTTCATTGGACCCAAAACTAATCAATATATATGTAACTCATTGCCATTCAATGTAATAGGAACAGAATTTGTCGGAAACGATGATTCAGGATATGAGCGACGATGAACGTCAAAAGTACCTTCGACTCCGAGAGCTGAACACTCATCTGATGGGGCAGCTGGCGGATGGACAGGCCCAACTGGAACAGCTTCTGGCTAGACAGGCCGAACTTGAAGAAGACCTCTCCACATCACAGGTAGGTAAGATTGTCTGGATGCTGCCCGCCCTACAGAAGAATAGTCTCATCGAGTACATGATTGGAGTAGAGAGGAGGGATTCCTCTTGTCTGAAGTAGATCAGTCAAAGTTTATCTTGTTAAACTGCGGTGATTTATGTAAGCCAGTAGCAGTGTTTAGGTGTTCGTACTAGATATGTCACTACCTTAAGGATGAGGCCCTAATCGTAGCCGATCAGGGAAGGCAAATTTGTTCTTCAATCGACTACTGCCCACTTAGGTATCCTAAAAGTGTCAAAATCGAGATATGGAATAACCTGTGAGATGTTTTGGATCCGTCTAACAAACTGAGAGTGAAATCAACGCCGAACAGCTTAGCAGTGATGGCATTCCTTCCATTGGGTTTGTTGTTGTCGCAGAATGTACAACCTTTCCACAGTGTTGGTCCACCATAAGTACTGAGTATCACCAGAACCAGATCTGTAGTTTCATTGCGCTATGAAAAAGGCTACTGAAAAGCGCAAGACATTCTTTCCCACATTTAGGAGTCTAATCGAATCCCCGACTCACTGGAACATGCAAGCCAGATTGAACACTGTTCACCATTCAGGAAGACTTGATAACCTAATCCCGATTGTAACATCATCAATCAAAGAAAACTGAACAAGCTGTCTTCCGTGTTCTGTCCCCTAACAGATAAAACAAGAGGCTATTCGACTCTACGCGCAGCTACACGAGGCCGAGGCAAGACGAGATCAACTGCTAGCAGAAGAAAACTCCAGAGAAGATCCTCAGCAAGAACGTGAACGTTTACTGCAACAAGTTCGTGAGGACAATCAGGAAATTGCTAGCATTGAGAGACAGTAAGATGGAGTTCCACTGTTTCACAGCTTTGTTACTTTGGGTCTCCGTGGGATGCTTTTTCGTCCCCCTTCGCTTGAAGTCAGTCTCCTAGCCGTGATATGCGGTGTAATTTCATGCAACTAGGACACTACTATATCGCCTTCCAGTAATCTAACAACAGATCACTAAAACATTCAACATACTCGTGTCAGACCTTAAGTTAGACGAATCTGGTGTGAACAATTGTAGACAACAGTAGGTACAATTGATTTTCCGAACTGTCGATATCAGAAGAAATCAGGGACAAGAGTAAAGTAGTGATAAGCCGGTAAGATACGACAGACAGCTACAAACATTTTCCCATATTGGCCTTCTATCTCACTTGTCTCCCACTCTCCGATTACACTAGAACGCGAGAAACGCAGGAAAAGGTATCTCACCGTGAAGATGAACTGCACTCACTGGAGCAGGAGTTGGACGACAACCGCAGTGAACGCAACCAGAAGTATCGAGAACTAAAAAAGCGGGAACAGCAGATTGATGAGTTCCTGAAGACATTCGATGAAGTTCATGTGAGTGTCACGTTTGAGTAAATTTGATGACAAGACTCAACCAATAATTATAAAAATCTGCATTTTAGATGTTTTCTCTTACAAACGTCATGAGTTTCAATGTCATCAAGGATGCTCCGTGCGTATTACCTCATTTGTGTCTCACAGAATCCGTCTGGTCTAGGCTCTTGGGCTCTCCTAATGCGTCAGTGTACACCTATACTGTACTTTTATTCTTTTTGAGGTTGGAATTACGCGCTGGCTGGTCCAACACCATCATAGAGGAGGGCACAAATTGCTTCCTGTGGGGACATCAGGAACAGCCTTGGGTCTTTGCATAAAATAATATCGTATATACCTCACTCCCAAACTTAAAAAGTGGTATGCAGACTTCAGTCGGCGCGTCCCGCTTATTCACGTAAATGTCTAACTAATACAGCTGTGCTCTTATGGACAGAGCCCTCCTTGGAGGGAAGGAGTTTTCTGCTTCGGCCCTCTGGAGATGACTTTTATCAAGGCCACGCCTGAGTGCTGAGTCCTGGCGACGGGACTTTCCAGTGGGTTCTCGGATTACACTGCTAACAACTAGATGCTCATTAATCTGAGCAAAGATCCCACCAATGGACTAGCACAAGCAAACAACGATTTATCGGCGGATAAGGTGCAATTAAGGCATCTGGTATCTAGGGGCGCAAGTAGCTGACCCACTGTAGAGGGCTAACCAAGACAGAATGGCGTTGTGACAGAAACTGAAATGTCTTCCAAATTTTTTGACGAATCGACAAGTGCACAACTTATTAGACCAATCACAGATTGTCCCTGGGGATTGATCCACGTCCATCAGAATGTAAACAACTTCGTCGAGTTCATACCATATACTATCAAAACAGGAGTTTCGGCCTTGGCTAAGCTTTTTTAACATGGTGTGATGATCAGGGCAGAATAGACGACCTTCTTGGTGGCCACTGAAACGACTTGCTTGATCTTGACCCGCTGCTGAGGCAAGTTAAGTGGATACTTTAGAGCTATAGTAGACTGATGGTTGATATTTCACCACTGGAACGTTTCGGCTGACTTGCTGTTTCGGTCGTTGCTGTATTCTTATGTATTTCTTTTATCGTTACGACTGGTGAGTCAACTGGAAATTCGTGTGAAGTAAGACCATCTTAGCTTCTCGACGAAACGGTGGAAGTAAATTTCCAGAGGTTGTTGCATCTGGGGTGTACTTCAACTTACAGTGACGAAATGGCCGTACTATTATTACTACCAAGCTTCAATTGTAATTTGTTTATTAGTTTTGAAACGTTTAATTGGGGGATACTCCCATCCCGGTTAGTGGAGCTCCCCCTAGTAGCAACAAGTGTATTTGCATAGCTACTCGTATTGGTGTACCCGGACATTTGAATCCTCCATGTCTACTGTGATAACCTACCAGCTACACTCGGAATTCTTCATCGATAAACTGAGTGCCAGACTCTTTCGTTGGTTCCCACACTGCCTGGTTGGCCATGAGAAAAGGATCTGTACTCATCTGGCATGCATGAATTTTCTCCTCGATTTGTCTTTCTCTTAAATGACTTAGTGCAACTCTGTTTCCATGTATGAGTTTCCAAAATTACTATCCTTTTTCGTCCTTATTCCTAGGCACTGGAACAATCCAGCATCAGTGAATTACAAGCCAACATAGTCGAATTGCTAGAGAATACATCTCGTCACATTCAGAATGCGAGCCAGACCACACCGGCTGCTGCAGCGGTCAGAGCTGCAGCTGGTGCAGACTCCAAGGATGGTTTGGACCCGGTGCAGCAGCTGAAGGAACAGCTAGAATTCAAGACCTCTGAAGTCTCAAAGTCGGAACGGACAGCGTCAGCCCTTTCCAAAGAACGAGCACGACTCAGTCAGGATCTGCTCAAGGTTGACCAGTTGGAGACAAAAGTTAGCCAGGTGAGCGAGGTTACCGCAAGACGTATGGTGTTGACGAATAAGAGGTTATGTAGACAAGCTACGAGAGACTTATTTATACTCCAATTTAACTTCTGACAATTACACTGCGTTTCTGTCACATAAATACCATTGAGTTGTTTGCTGCCCTATCTCCCGACGTATCTAGCAGATAACATGGAGCGTTACGTGGAACTCAACACGGAAGGATGATAGCGTCAATGGTAATCAGGCTTTCCGTAACCTCCTTTGTCCCCTTGATATAACACTGTTCATAAGGCCATTGAAAACTCTGGATAGTCTACGACCGGCTTTGCCGTTTTTTCGGTTAGTGTGAAAACCATTACCAGCAAACTCAGCTGCGCTGGTCATTGCCGTCTTCCTGTATGGGGACCCTGAGACTGGTCGTATCAATGGTTAGAGACATTGTCAGATATGGCCCAGTCGCACCCTCATTGGTGCTCGTGCATCCAAGCTATTGCCTTCAATGCATAGCTCCCTTCCCAATTCCCTCACTTGACAGCCCACTGACAGTGCTGGATTTATGCACCAATTTATTATCATCTCCCGCCTGCATTGCGCAGCTACATACCCCCCCCCAAATCATCGCTGAACGGAACTGTGGCAGCTACAACCACTATATGACAATTACGCGGTTACTGCAGCTGACAATGATGATGGTGATTCTCCCATCAACACAAACTGGATATGCGATATACCACCCAAACCTCCTCATGGAAAAAAGAACTATTCTCGGTAGAAGACAACTGGGAACGCGTACCCAGTCCACCATTTTCGTGGCGTTGGATGTAATACCCGCCATTTTGAAGGCCAGTGAGGAAATGAGTGAAGACCGATTCTACAAGCTTTCGCAATCTCCCGGTCTTTTTAACGGATGCTTGATCGTATACACATATTACCCTCGAAGAAGAGTCATCTGCACACTTCCCTGAAGTGGTATCTCTTCCGGAGGAGGAAAGATTTTTCCGTACCGGTTAATTCCATACTGTCCTGATATCTGCGTAATAATCTCGCAGACATACCGTACGCTTTCTTGGGCACATCTAATGGGCTATCGTCACAGGCAGTTAGAAAGTTAGACACAAAGTTCCCGAGAAGAGGGCTGATAATGCTGATCAACTTCGAATTAACCTGCAAGTGAAAGACAGCATACAGATTGCTGAAAAATCTGTACGCCCGTGCTCAATTTTAAACTGCAATCCTGACGCTGAAAAACTTCCCTTTAAAAGAAGTTGTTTGGGAAATTGGAGCCTTTACGGATGATTGTGTTTCTCTTCGCTACTTGGTTGCTATGATAAAGTCCGATCTTGGAGTTTCACCTATAAAGTATTTCACTGCACTTTGGAATCGTTTACTTTAGTGTTTGATAAGGGATTTTCACGTTATGGAAGGGTGGCTCCGAAAATACGATATAAGCTGTATTTTCGAAATGATTTCTCCTCCCGATATTTGTATCTTACGTTCAGAAATGCTTAAAACCCGTTACAAGTCGATTGCGGACAACCTCTTAACGACTGGTCATAGAAAATCGGGTTCATCCATCTTCCATACCATCAGCTAACGTAGAGCTTATGCCTGACACAACTTATAGACAGGTCTAGATATCTTAAATATCGGCTAAAGTGAGGTGACAGACGTTGTTTGCATTGCACGTCTGGCACCACGTATTGGCTGATCCGTACTGGCCAATAAGTAACGTGAATCGTGTTCATAGGTCACACACAGGATAGAAAAGCCAGAGTTTTCAGGGCCGGAAGCCTACAGAATGCGCTGGGGTGGCTTCATATGCCACCGACCAGCTCGCTCATTTTATCCGGCTTTAAGTCACATAAGCCAGTAGAAATGAGTTTCCTAACCGCAAACAAATAGAGTGACTCAAATAATCATTTGAATACGAAAGTCAACGCATCTATCAATAATTTTTACCCTGGTGGATGTAGCCTGAGTGGTCGACCTTCTATCCACTGGCCTCGGATGGCTGAACTGGGATTTTAGGTAGACCGTGCACACCGTTGTTGGATTGGCCCGGGTCAAGCTGGGTATGCCAGCACTCCCTTCCCACTAGGGAAATTTGGTTTGGACTGAGTTAGTTATTTTCTTAGCACCATCCTATATGGAGCACAGCTGGTCGATCGCAGTGTTTGTTGAACAAAAGAGGCCACGATGTTGGCCCTAGTACGAATTCCTTGTCAGAGATGACACAATATATTCTTATGATAACGTGTTATTTGCACATGCTTTGCACAACTAGCGTGCCACTGGTTTGGTGGAATTGTACCTTGGAATAGTTCTGCTGAGGCACTGGCTTTGACCTAGTCGTATACTGGTTGTTCTACGTTGCATCAAACAACCCCTCACCAAAAATCCATCATTCTTGATGGAACCAAGTTGATGCTTTACAGTTTTCCTCCAACAGAGACGCCCATGAAAGTAAGGCGGTTATCAAGGGCGTATGTTCATACCATAGGAAGGATAAGGCGAGAATAAGATATCAGAAACAGTGATCTCTTGCTGAGGGGGACAAAAATTTTACAAGGCAGCTTACGATTATTATTCCTCTGAATCACACTTAAATGATCGAAATCCACATTTGCAGTTTAGTCCACAAAGTCTACTCCAAAGCAGCTCACAAACAGGTAAAAATCGTTCTGTGCACGGATTTTATGCATCCTATAGGGAGAACGGGGCACGAGATACTATCAAGGGGACTATACTACCGTGCTGCCCGAGTTCAGATAGTAGAACAATGGAAAATGAAATGGTGGGGGTTCAGACGACGAATATTTTGAATAGTAGCTTGCACCTTAGATGCCGGAATTTATCGAATTCTGGGAAATCTCATGGACATTTTAACACATTTTCGAGAACACACAACTCTACTTCATTTTGTAGAGTAGTAGGCTGTGGTTTTCCTCACTAACCAACCAACCAACCAACCAATCAACCATGTAGTTGTTTTTTAAATCTCCTCGCTGCAACATTCACAGGAAATGGAAGCACTTCGCAAGAGAATAGCCAATATGGAAGAAGAGATAAAACGATTTTCCGATCTCGACAGAGTGAAAGAGGACGCCAAAACGAAAAGTGAGACAGTGAGTTGAAAGATGTTAGTTTCTGCCCATGACATTAGCAGACTCTTTCAGGAATTTTCGAATCCAGACGTGTACACACCAGCTTAGAAGTGTTCGCTTCCTCACTAACCAACCAAGGCCAGAACAAATCTGTTTTTTTTTTCAAGGAAAATATGGATATCCTCACTGATCGGTGATATTCTGAGCAGTGTCTACCTAGAGAACGAAGTGTGGTGCTGATCATAGAAGTTCGAAACGGCAAGTGTATCTTCAACCATATCGTTGCGGTGTATGACGACCCTTCAACTTGCCGAGTGGTCCTACCTTAGTTAGCATCCATGCCGGTGGATTCGAGTATTTTAGTTAAAACTTCGTGACTAGACATCGGGGCTACTTCAGGCTCGGAATTGCGTCCGCTTGTGCCGAATGCCTACGAGCGCGTGCTTCATCCTCGTTCTGGACCAGCATTAGGTCATACCCTGGGGATACTGTAGAGACACGGTTCAGTGAACATTGGCGAATGTAGTTTTTCAGTCGATCAGCCTTGTGGATATCTTCAATTCATAGATACTCCGGTTCGCCTGACTGAGCAGAACCAGTGAACGTGCGGGAAAGCCACAGTTCCACCATTTAGATATTGATAAAACGGACACCGTTTTACAAGAGCAACGTCGCTGTTTCTCGAAAAATAACTAGTATCGCCGTCCTGTTCTAGGTGGATACGTCATTTGCAACACTATTTTCTATTTGATGCCCAGCGTTGATTTCTAAGAGAATGAGGTGTTCCAGCCCCGATCTGCTGTTCCTCTGAGAAAATGCAGCTTCTATCAAGGCGTCACTGCTGAATCACTTTTTGTATTGTGTGTGACCCCAAACTCCCACCTCAATGCGATTGTCTTTACATTGACAGCACCATCTTGCTTGGACTTAGGGACCCTACATAGTGGGGTCAGTCAGATTTGAGGCTCACAAACCGTGCTCCAAAGTACAGCTGCTACAGCTTCTTTCACTGAGGATATGGAGAACCAGGAATTGAGTGCCACGATTTGGAAGCGACGTTCCAATTGGTTCACGTACTTCAACGGGGGTAATATCGTCATGAGAAAAGAACCATGGGATACCAGTGATTCAGATCGCACGAGGAATCCCCTCACAGAGGTTCCCCAACTTGCGAATGACTTAGTCAGCCTGTGAGATGCCACTTCTGAGGAAGGCCGATCACAATTGAATGGCAACTTCTAGGGCTGTTTGATTGGTCGTCATGATAGTAGTTTCATTAATCAACTCCGGGCAAGTGTCGTTGCTGAGGTCTAGGTGTTGTGCACCTGGCGTGCAACGCAAGCGAAGGGTGACGGATTTGTTGGACATCACCGTAGGTCGTGAAACGGATACAATGAACCACTTCAGTTTTCCTTAAAATACATAAATCGAAGTGCGCCTGATACAATCCCAAACCATAACGCGAAATTCAATCCATTTCAGCTTACCATGGAGAAGCGACGATTAGAAGGACATCGTGAAAGTCTACATAAACTCAATCAGTCGTTGGCCAAAGAGTACAGTTCCATCCAAAACACATTAACCAGTCAGGACACGTATATGCAACTGACCAACCTAGAACGCCGTTGGGCCCAGCACGAGCAGACAAACTACGCCCTGATGGAGTCGATTGCAAACAAACGCCTGGAGACTGATCATAAGGGACTTGCTGCAAAAGCTTTGGAGATGGTCAGGGCATACAATGAATGCTTGAAAACCTCATTGTCAGCCAAGCCTGTGGTACTCTGAGTCTAATGCAGTTAACTTGTGTTGTGTTGCATTTTTAACTTTGTTTGTTTCGTGAAATAATATACGATATTTTGCAGCCAAACCAAAGGACTCAGGTCCCCCGTGAACGAAAGAAACTTCTTGAGTGTAGAACCTGGTTAAAAAATCCAACGTCAGTAATGCGAGTTAGATGTTCGACGCTGCCCCGCAGAATCATCATCATCGACAGCATGACATCAGTGTTCAACACCGATGCTTCACTGTCGTACAACCATGATTTATTTGAAAGCCTTATTGTAAAGAAAAGAGAAAAGGTGGACGGGGGAGGGACTTAGTTCTAGCTTAACACAATCATTCCGAGGTGCCTACACCTCCAGACATTCACTCAGGCAATCTGGATAGAAACTGACAACAGGAACGCCACTGACATCGGTTGGCAGCCATATCTTGTATTGTCTCCAACCAGGCACAGTGAGAATCACGCGGTCCCCATCCTGGAAGGCGAGTAGCACCGACAGCACCCAAGCGTTTCGTGATCTCCTTCATACTCCTCTGCCAAGTCAAGGGTTGGCCACCTCTCTGTTTACGCCACTCTGAATTGGGCATCGAAAACAGCACTCTCTTCGACAAACGATGGTTCGGCATACGTAACACATGTCCCAACCAACGCAGCTTCTGGTGCTGGACACAGAATAAGAGTAGCTGATAATTGATCTGCGTCAGGGGACTCAATGGTTACATCCCATGAGAGTTGGATGAACATCCTTTGGTTCAAGTCTGATTTACGTACACTGAAACTGCTTAGGGGGAGGTTGAGATTACAACACTTTTGAGATCCGTAGCAGTAGTTATTTTATTGGCAAGGCCGACAGCCAATGTCTGTCTTTTCACGATAAAGGTTCTTCATCTCCCTGGATTCCTCAAGTAATTAGAACTATTCCTATGCACACGCAGAGTTATACGTCTCCTTGAACGTTGGAACCCAGGCAAGTGTAATTACTGAAAAGCCTTTTCCTCTTGGTTCGATAGTGTTTCTTGTGTGTAGCATGGTCTCGGAGACAAATCTGGATTGATATCCGGTTAATATCCTTGGCCAATAGAGCCGCCTGAACTGATGTACTCTTCACGTGACTATTACCAGAAAAGACGAGGGTTTTTACGATCTTGCAAGACATAACTGTGTGTGCTCTGTAGACGTAATAGTAAACTTGTACTTGGTTCGTTGTATCCAAGTTTCAGCTTGGTTTGATTTGACGTGTGCTAACGACGTCTGTGCAGCGTGCGACGGATCAAGGGAATTCGCACCTTTCTGGTTTACCTTCGATCTATAGTTGGATAGAAGTGATCCTCAAAAGAAAAACAGTCACATCCCAATGAGTGACCAAATTCAAGTTGAAAATCAGGTGGTTTTTCTTTCACCATGCATCCGAAAATCGCCGGGGGGGGGGAGATTATGGGATTAGTTTACCGGCTCCAGAATTTTTCTGTATAATTCTGTACTTTACAGTCCAGAAATGTGAAACTACTCCGGAGGGTTGTTCAGGGTGGGAGTTTTCCTGGACGAATATGAACCATATAGTAGTTCTTAACGTATACAGTTCTGGCCACGTAGGTGTATGGTGCATTGGCTGGCCAGGATCATATCGTTTTACACATAGATGCCTCAGGCGTGCAATCCTCACGACTTCGTGTAGTACGGATGAGAACTTTCTTAAGACATCACACCACCAGCTGTAGACCGTGGAAGGGTTGCAAGTGTTCCGACTCATCAGTTTCGCTCAACGATGACGCTAAAATGAAAAGTAGCGCGGTGCATCAGAGGGGAATGATAGCTTATATCCCACAACTACGACTCGAGTATTACGATGTTTTGTGAGTGGGCATTTTTGCTTCACATTTGAATTTTGAAAATTCCTATTGAAACATTCCGAGTTGACTGCGCAGTTTTTCTATCGATTGGGAATCTGTCCTTCATTTTGTACAAAATAATTACGCTGGTTTTGCAGATCTGTCCACATCCCAGTAGGGCCTATCAGCTGAGCCAGAGGGTCAAAAAAATATAACCGCTTAGCTGATATTTCAGACCGTTTCGGGAATTAAAATGGCGGGGGTGCGAACCCGGATCGCTCATTTGTTTTGTTCACTACGTAACCCAACCATTAATCCGAGTAGAGGACAAGCCTTAGTGATTTGCTAATTTAATTTCGTATAAAACAGATAAAAGAATGAAAAAGAGAGTGGATTCAAATTGCACCTTGTACGGTAAAAAGGCCGTGTTAAAACACTTCATGGGAAAACCAATCGTGTGTGCGTGTGGAGGAGAAACAAGGCCAGGCGTTGCAAGGTCATACTGGAGAGTACAATAATTTGAACGGAAATACACTATGATAGGAAAAGAAATACTGTAACCCCTAATATCATGATTTTCTGTAAGGTCGAACGGAGGACGGATAAAATCGGGCTAAGCATGCAAAGTTTTGTCTGAGGCATAAAAACGCCGGTGAAATGTCCTGTGGGATTTGCTTACTGAAATAAAGCATAAGTAGCATGAAGACGACGGGCCTTTTGCAGGCGCCAAAAACAGTTGACATGCAAGCCTAAATGCAAGGATATGGAGGCGCTCAACATAAACAGCCAAATAATGGGACAATTTCGTCAGGAGAATACTTGAGAATTTATATCAGGTATTGTCACCTGCTCCAATGAAGGCGGATACAGCAAACTGATCGAGCGGGTTTTGAATTAACCGGGTGGAGAATGATGTGCCACAAACGATACGATTTAGTAGTATTAACTACATCCTTTTATAGCCTTTATTCGAAGTTCCGGATCGCTGGAACAGCGAGGCAGGCGACACCTACGCCTTCGGTGTCTTGTAGAAATGCTTTTTCCGGAGGGCTGACGGCGTGAGAGGGAAAGAAACACTAATCCAGTCTTGAGATGATGTAGACCGATGGAGCTAGCCACTGAGGATGACCGACTCAAAGAGCTCATACATCCAGGAAGAACGAAGGGTTGTAGATCCGGGGGTAGCAGGCTGCGGACTCGGGCAGCACGGCGTTTGAGGCGGGCGAAACCGGCATTGTCTTCGTTGACATCGCTCGGTCGTTGTGAAGTGCGACTAGACTTTACTCGGCGAACGGCCTTACGCTGGCGATCACAGAGACGTGCAGACGGCGCGGCGGATCGTTGGGCGTTGTGATGATCGTCCAAATAACTAAGGAAGCGGACAAGTACAGTTGTTCAAAGATACTTCGAGGATGAGATAAGGGGAAAACCGCTGACCTAGATTGTTGTTTTGGAAAAGTGTGTAACTGAAAAGTTTTTTCTAGCGACTGTAGTTAGAAAGGCTGCAGAGAGGCTCACGCAATTCTGGAACCCATAGTGCGACGAATGATACCTGCATACGGAGTATAAATTGAAAATGGCAGAACGATTTTCTTTCAGGATACCACAACACCAAGAATCACTGATATGTTAAGTGTACGGAAGTAACCTATGACAACCATAGTCACCGTGTGGACAAACATGATTATCGCGTAATGACAACGGCGAAGTGATTCGGAATCCTAAGACACAAAATCCAAGAGACCGGATTGTGGCACCTGCTTTGTGAATACAACAAACAGTCGTACACAGTCACATAGGGTGCTTCAATGACCACAAGCATGCTGTTTCAGTCACCTTATCCCAACCAGTAGATGAGTTTGGCCTATATGCTAATCGATACCGTTAGGTTACTGACTAGCTATCGGTTGGGTATCATTCCTAAGGTGGCTTGCAACTGTGGCGTTGTGGATTCAACAGCCAGTCTAACCTTCCAACTAACTGGCCTTGGACCCGGTTGGCTCTGACGGCATTTTATACTCTTGGGGCACGTTACCCAACATTCACTGCGCAAGCAATAGATTGCGATGAATAGAAGGATAACCGACACGCTCACGCACAAGCGCGCTCTATTAGTGCACGGAAATCGGTGTGTACGTCACAGATGAGGCCACCGAAGCTATGAATACATACCAAGGTACAGATTTATGAGACACAGCTAGGCTATCCTGCAACAACACATCTACTATGGATATTCACTAGTTCAAGGCAAGATATTTCCCACGTATCCTGCAGAATTGGAGGCTGTCAGTCAAATGATTCGGGGGAAATTCCGATCCGTTGGGTGGTCATGTCGATTACAGTTCGGTGTGCGTAGGTGGACAGTATTGCCGCTATGTTGTGCTAGTGTTAACATCGTTCATCTGTAACACCCTTTCGGTGCCTAGCTGCCACGCCACTCGAAGGAAGCACGAGGGCTGGGATATTGCCAGGTTGCCCAAGCCTAGACAGAGGAAGTCGAGAGGCAGAGGTGGGGTTCGAACCACGGACCTTTCGGTCAGTAAATTCGCAGTCTAACCACTTAGCCATCTCGCCCTAGTGTTAGCAAGGACGTGTCTCCTGTATCCATCGATCCAGCTGACTTCATCTTTGTTTTTCAGCCTAATTCACATAGTCTGTATAGCCTAGCATGTTCCCGATTTGTTGTGAATCATGATCATCTACTGATGACTGACAAAAAGGAGTCAGTTTATTCGTTTTTTTTGTTCAGCCTGGGAAAATACTCATCTGGGTTAACTAGGAGGTGGGGTGTTTCTAGGAGATGGGATGTATTGATTCATAGATCCAGGCTCATAACGAACTAACCTCTTTTGATGTAAACCATCGGCTTCCGGATCGCTCATCGTGCCATCCTTTTCGTCCGAGCTCACTTCCGACAGGTCAGATGTGAGCAGGAGGCCAGCAAGAGCATCGCCTACAGGAGTAGAGTCGTTCAAACAAGTGGCACTCAGAGAACGTGGTCGGACCATTAGACAGCCCAACTCTCGATCCGGATAAGAATCCGAAACCCATGCACCGGAGTCTACAAAAAGAAGCAGTGTTAGATGACGTTGTTGTAAGAAGTGAGTCAAATATGCTTTGAACGGCGGTTGGTCCTATGTGAAACTCACTAAGTTTGGAACAATCCTCTGCGTATTGAACCGTTTCATTGACGATCTCCTCAAAATCACTAGCATCCGTTCGAGCGCCATAATCCTCGTCGAAGTCATCATCATCCAACTGTGAAGTGACGGATGTGACTGTCTCACTGTCTGCTGCGCTGGCTAGGCCACGACGGTGACGATTGCGGAAAGAGGCCTGACGCGAACATGGGGTACTGCGCTGTGGGTCCAGAGGTAGCAGAAACAGATGCGGGCGTGGAGGATCATGTAGTGGGGATTTGGGTCGAGGCTGCGAGTGTTTTATCTCTGAATAAATAAGGACCGGTATCTATTTTGAGAAACTGGTAAAGTGGTACAATCAACACAAACTGAGACCCAATCATATGGGAATACAGGGAGATATTACGGCAGCCAATCAGTAGTCTAGCCTCTTTAGAAATCTAACGTCACGTCCAACGTTGCTCACATGAGACTGGGTTTGTGGTGACAGTGAACTATTCGTTTTTGTCAATGATGACCAAAAGCATGTCTGGTGCTTAGTCACATTGATCTATACTACTAACAGGAAAAGAACTCTCGTCAGATCAGTTACGGCTGGTGCAGAAGGTACGCAGAAATGTGGTATCTGATACGCCTGAAGACTGAAGTGCGCGCCATTTCAACAATGGATGAGTTAAGTGGGAAATGGATGGATGACCGAGTTTCATTTGCATACGAGACAATGCAAGATTCCAATATTTGGGACGAACGTCTCTCAAAAACACACAAAAAAAAATTGCAACTGCTGGTTATCTAAAACATTCACATACAAATAAAAAAGTCACTTTCAAACATGAATAGCGCCTTAAGAAGAATAAAGCAATCAGTCATAACCGGGCTTCAGTAGGTTCCCTTGTGATGAGCATGTGGAAACATACCTGGAAAGTGGGAATTCTCAGTCAGCAGTCCACCTGGTACCACACCGTTAGCATCCTCAAATGACTGGACGTAATCTGAAGCTGGGATCCATCCCATTGCCCGGAACTGGCGACTGATCCGCTGAGCTTCCGCAGCGATTTCTGCGTCAAACATTGCTCTGACCCCACCCCGAAGATGTCTTTCTGTAGACCCAACACGGGACGGACGATTGTTGTGCAAGGACGGTGTTCCATTCTGCAGTACCGGAGAGTTTGACGTTTCTGAATGAGGGCCAGAAACGCTAGATCGGTCCACGTTGTCATACTCGGAGCTGAATGGCAACCGTTATATTGGAAAATATGGAGGAAATGATCATCGATGTGCAAAACAATACTGATTGCACTAGAGCGGTAAAGTCACCTACCGTAAATGTGTTATACAATTCTCCCTTCAACAAACTGAAAATAGAGGTCTCTTCGTAAGAAAGAACAAACAAATCTCGAATGGAGAATCATGTTGAAGAGTTTCTGGGACATCGATAGGGAGAGAGCCACTACAACTTGTTTGTACAACGATACTCCCGACCCTCTACATAATATACTATATATAACGTATAATACAAACATTGAGTGTTGCTACGAGTCATCGATAATCAATTTCATCTAATTTGGCCTTGCTTTCGGTTCGCCCTCCTACCAACGTGTGGAATTATTTCCGAAGAACCTGATAGGAGGATACATCCCAAATAGACAAGCCTCGCAATGCAAAGACTGCTGGCACGCGGACGATTACGGGTATCCGACTAGGGGTTTTGGAGAAGCATCCATCAGTAAGGTCCGGTAATATATACCAGCGTTCGCCCGCCATACAAGCATGAGGAAAGAAAAGAAACGGATTCAGACTTCGTGGACTAAACAGAACTATGGCACCGTAGTGAGAGAAACGCTGCTCTAACGAGAGTCATGTGGATATAAGTAATATCATTCTTTTGTCAACTGCGCTATGGCAACTCCGCACAGATGTTAAGTATGACCAAGCGAATTTCGGGAGTTTAGATTTTCAAAAGGCCAGTGTTGAATACTCATCAACAGAACAGCCCGCATGTGTTTTCTAAGTCCTTGTTTTGGAGTTCACCGTTTTGTGGTAAATAGACTGGTACGTGGAACAAATCCGTAGTAGCTACTGTTGCAGGGAAACACGGATATACGTGGTTTGATCAACGGATAATCTGGTACGGTCATTTAAACAGTCACAGGTTGGTTTTTGCTACCATTCAAAGGTGACCGTCTTCTGATTGGCTATCAAAATCGTGTTGCCCACAAACCCCTATTGGTTGTAGCTGAAGCCAATTAGAGCGGACTTGCTGATTTCTTACTGGTGGCAACCTATTAGTATGAATCCAATAACAGCACCGTAGCCAAAGCAAGCGGTCATCGTCCAGTATTTCAAAATCAAGTATTAAACGTTTTAAATGCATTCTCCTGCCTCCATAGAACCAACTGGATACAACCATGAAACAAAAGCAGAAGGTAACCAGCTTGTGTTGGAACCGAATAAATGCGCTGCTACCTGCTTACCACAGATATGTATGAAAAATGAGAGGAGCATCTACTGACACAACAAAAGGCAGTTTTGTTATCCAAACAACGAGAACAATAGTTTCGGGTCGCATTCAGCTGATACTCACCGTTGTTGATCCACGCTACTCGCCTGACTTGCAGCTGTACTTGGTGTTCGGTTCAGACCTTTGGTTGGTTGTAATTGATCGGAGTTAAAGATCGCGGTCTTGTCGGTTGGTTGAGCAGGTTTTATCCCATCGATTACAGGAAGTAGCCTACACGTATTCGGCGACTGCACCTGTCCATTGGTATGATGATTAACACCTGACATAGACATCTGAGGCGAACCTGCAGCACCTGGAATGACCGTTGGAACTATGACGTTCATCTTTGGTTGACTGGATAAGCTACAAGGTGATAGAACTGATTTGAAGATCCCTCCCTGTTTATAGTCGTCATCCACATCAGCATCATCACCGGTATCGTAAACCGAGGAAGTTGCGTAGCTATGATAACACAGAGAGGAAGAAATCGAGACTAAATCAGAAATTCCCGCACTAATTAAACAAACCAGCTTAAGTAGATACAATCCGCAAACATGGGAAAACGATAACCGAGCTACCTACCAGCTCATAGTAGCAGTTCCATCATCAGGCGGCGGACGTTGCCAGTGGTACTTGTCTAACGGTTTTTGAGATGACCGGCCATTGGAAGACGAGTGATTATTCGGCAGTGACGCGTTCGGATGACTCAAATTATCGTAATCTGACTGGCCGATTTCATCAGTCGCAGGTGAAGTTATTTGCCGCGTAAAATTCGGGAGACTCACTGGGGCGATTTCCGGAAGCGAGGGTTTGCCTGGTCTTGGCGAACACTGTAACTGTATCGAATGCTCGCTAATAAACTGGGGCCCTGGAGGGAAGTAACCACCAGCAACGCGCCCATTCTTAGCAGGGTCTACAGAGTTTTTGGTCTGCTGCTGCTGTTGTAGCAATTCGGATGGAACTAGTCGCGAATGACCCTGAACAGAGTAGGGATTGATGTGAAACACTCCCGGACGGTTATGATAGGCAAACATCTAAAAAAACAACATGAGAAAAACAGCGGAAGAAAAATTGTCAGTACATTAGACTCGACAAGCTTCATCCACATGAACCATCTTCAACTGACCAATGACCTTTTATTACAGAGGTGAAAGGAGCCCGAAACTACTGACCGGAGGGTTGGGAACAAACCGCTTTTTCTGTTGCTTCTGTCTAGACGGTAACTCAGCACAGGTGTTTGCTACAAGATCCATAGTGGTTATGCGTCGACCGAGAGCCACAGCTGAGCGACTTTTTTACGTGTCAGAGGGTGTGACCAAGAAATCAAGGCCATTCTCTAACTAGTTTTACCGCGGTCATCTCACATAGCGAACACACTTTCTGTCTGTATAATGTACCAGCGCGGAATGCAAAAGAAGCTGCCCTTACCTCGTCTCCATCTGACTCACAAATACACTCATGCGGAAGAGACAGCGGGACAAAGGCGGCTTCTAGTAGAGATGGAGCCTGACGCGGGTCGATGGGTTCATCTGGGCTATTCAAACGGCTTGGTTCCAACTCATCTGCCAGTTCGGACTCGCGCGCATCCAGATCCGGATTGGCTAGCAAACTATCTGTCATACAGCTTTGGGGAAGATGAGTAGTACCCATAGGGAGATCCAAATTGAATTGATTTGTTGTCAGTGGTCGCTGTTGGGACCAGCCAGGATAGATTAAGGGACGAGTGAAGCTGGAAGACATTGATTCCGGCACGGCGCTCTGGTCCTCATCCTCAATCTCTCCATGAGAATCTCCTTCATCCTCGTAGTCACCAAAATCTCCATCACAGCTGGTGATACCTGTCGGGTCACAGTAAAACAAGAATGGACATGAAACGAGATAGAGACATTCTGGTTAAAACAGGTTTTAACCAAAAACATATTGTAATAGGAAAGCAGCTTGTTTCTCTCAAAAATATTGGAAATAGCGTTTAAATATTGATTACACCGGCCAAAACATTTGGTCGGCAAGCTGACAGGCTTCTCAGCTTCTTTGTCTGGAATGTTTCTAACCAAGACGTCTGCCAGTGCAGTGTCATTTATGTTTGTATTTGAAAAGGTGGACGTAATCGTATGTGTTTGCGTGTGCGAAGGATGGAGTTTTTTCGTGTTCTCACATAAATTCATCGAAAGACGGACAAGCACAACTCGAAACCTTTGAACGAAAATTTGACGCTCCTCTGCCCTGCTTCATTCCTGTCGGTCTTGGGCGAAGCAAGCTTTTCTTACCGTCCGTTGGTTCAAGCAGTTGCCCTAAGGATATATTTCCTAATTGATTAGGAAATTTTGTGAATGAAGGGCGTCTTGTAAGAACGGATTAGGCTCTGTGGGACTGTACGGTAGCAGTCAGGTCACGGTGAACATCTTTTCGCTCGGTTGACTATTCATCATTGTCAGTTGACACACAAACAAACCAGTAGCTATCATGATTGGTGCCGTATCCTGTCTTAGGTTCGAGCCCGTCACACTGATGATCTAACAAGAAGATAGCGAGTTGATGATTCATAAAGATGTCATCTCAAGTTTTCAGGGGAGATCTTAGAAACAGTTCGAACATGATTGTTCCAAGAGCATGCGACCATGCTTGTTATGGTGGCGTGAACTACCAGATAGTATGTTATCATCACTTGCTTGAATCCACAATGGGTTTGTGTACCGAAAGTCATTGAAAGTGACCTCTGCAATGAGGATTGGGCTTGAAATCGACAAGTAAGTAGTAAGCGGTGAGGGAAGTGTTGAGGCGGGAATGCCCTTTCTGTTAAGTACTTGGGAACTATTCCAAAAGCATAAAGTCATGACTTTCACTTAGAAACTATGGACATGCCATCAGAGTAGAAGCGTTGAGGGAAAACAAGGCCTAGATTGTTGGCTTTGTCTAGCAAATGAGATAGCGTCCGGTCCTGGTTTCCGACGAGGCTTGGAACCGACTGAAAATTCGGTCCAAGAAAAGTTTGAAAACCCACCACCGGCTTTTTGGCAAACTCCTCGAGAGCGAGACGTGATCCTGTTATACGGGGATCAGATGGGTTGAACTGCACCGATGAATGCAGCAAACCAACTATGCACCTAATGATGTGGATTTCGAGGCTTCAGATGAAAGCGATGTTCACAAAATAGTGGTTCACGGATCAGGATGGCGAATTCCAAACGTACCGTCATCTGCAATTGAGGGCTGGACAGCCATACTCAGTGGTCCCAAGGAATAAGTGCCAGCATACTCGCCATCTATTGCGTCCACATCTGAAGCCGGCGGAGATCCGGTGTCCTTGGGACTCTGTTCACGGAAGTCCTGTTAGAGAAATGAGGTAAGTGAGAACTATTGGAAAGAAAAAGGGAATACCTGAAAACCTCGTGCTATGGTCAACGCGGTGTACATGAAAAACAGCAGTTGTTCGCACATTGAGTGTGTGACCGATCTCGCCCTCCCAAAGGTAGGACAAATAGTTGTACCCAGAATCCAACCATCCTCTAGCGGGACACCCAGCGGATAAGGCCGTGGATTAATAATAATATTACTAACAATAGTTCAGCTGTAACACCCTTCCGATGTCTAGCTGCCATGCCACCCATAGAAGCACGATAATAATAATATTACTAACAATAGTTCAGCTGTAACACCCTTCCGATGTCTAGCTGCCATGCCACCCATAAGAAGCACGAGGTTTGAGACACTGCATGGTTGCCCAAGCCCAAATAGAAGCAGTCAAGATGTCGGGGTTGACTTGAAACCACGGGATTCCGGTCGGTAAGTTCGCTCCTTAACCACTGATTACTATTGCCACAACGAACCGGGTTCGGAACTCCACATGGATGACTTCAATTTGGCTGGCGGCTACCGCCCAGATAATCTTCACTTATTCTGGTTCAGAAGTAGGGGTATAAAAAGGGTTTACCTTCAGTGACATAGGGAAAAGCTAACGGCAGAATGACGTCGAGATGATGTCGTTTATTAACTTTACTCATCGCGAAATAGCTCCGAACAAGAGTTCCAAATTAAGATATTGTCGTTTTTGATATCTCTAGGCCCCAAAATGAAGGCTAAACACATAAATAAGATCGACAAGTATTGAGTTCGTACTGTGAACCTCCACGACTCCTGCTCCGATTGTTCTGGAAAAAGAAATCTGAAGATTATCAAAAGATCCGGCTACTTTAAGTAAGCATGATTTATCCAGATTCCAGTTCCTGTCACTCATGACGGGGAAAGACAGACTGGGTGATAAGCGGATGCGGATAAGTGGTCCATGGCAGTTGTGCTAACACGGACCGTAGAGTTCACGCGAAAGGTCACAGTGAGCACTCGTCAGTCACAGTCAGCACTTGTTCTGACTGAAAGGATGTTACGAGTGAAGGATTAGTTACCACAAAGGAAACTACTCACAAGGTTGCTGAAAACTCTTCGCAGCCCACGACCGGTTTAAGTTGAGTCTACCGTGAAAAAAAGGTTCGCAAATGAGCGTATTTGTCGAAATCAGTCCAATTTGGGTTCAAATAGAACATAAGGTTGATGGAAACTCGAGGTCTTCGCCTACCTGACGAGCCTCAAGAAAGGCAAAGCCGGCTGTGGGCTGTTGAAGAGTTTTCAGCAAACTTGTGAGTAGTTTCCTTTATGAAAATATACTGCGATATCTCGAAAATCGTGCCAACTGAAACCTGAGGCGGCCTGTATGCAGCACTTTTAGTTGTAGAATATCATGAACGAGAGATTCAGTTGAGTCTCTCGTGAAGACCAAGTTTATTTGCAAATGAGTGTATTTCTCGATTATTTACCATCTTTTGCAATGGAGTGACATTCGATTGGATGACGAGGCCACTGAAAAAAGTGGAACCGCAGCTGTTTAGTGAAAATCTAAGTGCTCTTGTTTTCAGGTAGTACGAGTGACACAAATCAATAGTGCCTCAGTTTCAGACACATTCCCTCAAATAAAGAATTTTGTGTAGAGATGTGGCACAAATACTAGTTTAGAGTAATGAAGAAACTTATTAGGAGACTTGCCGATGGAGCAGTTTCTGGTTGATTCGTCTTTGGGTTCGTTCGCGCGGCTTTCGTTAGGGCGATCCTGTCAGACTGCAGACAGTCATCAGGCCAAAGCTTCAAATTTTTATCTGTCCCAAGATGTGCACTGCTGTTATCGAGTGACGATTCACGCTTCACTCCTCCGTATCCGGTGTTTCCTGGAGCACTTCTAGCGGCTGAAGATGTTGAGGAGGAAGACGGACCGGTGTGGTAAGGTTGATTCCCTGCTACGTAGTTTCCTGAGCCGTAGCTCACTGGTGTAGGGACCAGATTGGTTTTATTCAATCCCATCTTGCATTGTGGGTAACTACCGGGACTTGGAGGACGTTGGATGTCTGGGAAATCCAACATTCTATCACTAGAGAGGTAGAAACCACATGTACAGTGTATTACTCGACTGAGACCAAGGTCATAAAAGGTGAGAACACAGATACTATTCCGTAGTTAGTGGTGGTGAATAGAAAAACGGATTCGAATGTATTACAGAATAACGGGGCAGTTTGAAAACAGTAGCAAAAGGTAAAGTTTTCAAATAGCACCTAACTGTGGAAAGGAAAAGAAGGAAGAAGTTACAGCCAAAAATCAGGTGTCACAAAGTTGAAGCGAGGAACGGTATTCAATCCCCAGATACTGTTCAAATGAATCAAGTGATTTGAGTGTCATGAAATGAAAATGATTTATCCCCATTCGTCATAGCCGACAATTTTCCCGTTTGTCCTCGATTTCCGTCTGGGGAAACACCACAGCATGAGCCTTTAGAGGCCTAATAAGGTTCGTCACTGCAAGCCCTTGGGCTACAGGTTTGAATCATACTTCCTCACCTGTAGCAAAGACGGCGTGGATTAGTTAGATCTATTCGAAGCAGAAAAACCGCATGTCCCCCAGACACTTCACTTCTGAGACGATTTCAAGAGATTAAGTTTGGCCAGGACAACTCAAGCCGATAACGTACACACCGCTCTCTACAAAGCAGGCTGTTCAACTTTGCTATTCATCTGTTTTAAATATGGGATGGTGATACGGCACACGGTGCTCCCCATGGGAAGAGGATAAGCGCATAGTGGGCAGCTTGTGTCGGACTAAAAAGCACCCAAACCCGAATACTGGAGGAACGTGCTTCACCTCAGTTCATTAAGGGACAGATAATGGTAAAACTCGTCTGGCCTGACCGTTTCCCGCCTGTATTAGATGCTACCAATAGGTCCATTGGATTCGCGTAAAAAGCGAAAATACCTCATAGTCTGAACAGGCAGATGGAGAAGAGGAAGGCGGATTCAAGAGAGTTGACTCAACTGGGAGTTCGCAACCAACCAAGGTGGTATTCGTGAAGCCAGTCCGTCCTATGAGAAGACCAAGCTATAACACAGTAAAGCGACTATACAAGCACAATCTACATGGAAACCAGGAAATATATTGGTCTATGCTAGTGTCGCACCCTCAAAGACCAAATTCTCTCGAGAAGCGGGCTGGATGCGTATTACTAAGGAAACGTAATATCACACTCAGCGGAGAGACGATACAAAAAAGCGTGCACTTAACAAATAACAAAAGTGTTCAATTCAAGCGGTGTTCGGATCGATCGAGAAAACTCCTGCGTTGAAACAGGTCTGTGGTTGCGCCATCCAGTAGCCCCACAATGATTTATAACTTGAAAGTTCTGCTTTTCAATGTAACCAACAGATCGAAACGCGCCAGTCTTTGTTTGCCCAAGTAACTGCCAAAATGGGTCATAAGTTCACCGTAACCAGGGGATGATTCGTAGACATTCACCAAAGCCTCACGAAAGTTAGTTGAGGCTAGTTAGATCACACTTGACACAACGTTGATTACAACGGGAACCACAGGCCTATACGTCGCGAAACAAAATCGGTCATTTTTTAACCTTGGAGATCACGCCACGGTCAATTATCGTGACCAGTAACTCGAAAGCAAGTATGGCCTAAGTGCACAGCAATGCTCACCTCAGTCTTAGCAGCTATGTCGAATTCGTTTAGTTCTATTTCACTCCTACTTGCAGAGTCTGGATCAAGTCGTTCGTTTGTCCTGACTTAGAATCCACGCCATAGTCATCCAAGCCTGACAATCAATCATGTGCAATGATTTTACGCCTGTTGGTTTGCGCCGCAGCCTAACTGATTTGATGGGCACCACCAAGGTGTCCATCTGGTGAGCTATTCCTGCCCGAAAACATCAGCAGTCAACATATTGTCGAATGCGCTCTCGAGGAGAGGAATACGAGTATTTACCATGGAAATTCAATCCGATATCCATTCGTCCCGAGGATATATTCACTCACGTAGACGTTACAACAAAACAATCAGTCTAGCTCACCTGACAACCAAACCTTCCTTTGTGCACGGGAGGCGGAACTTCGGAGTTGCAGGCATATCAATGGCACCATTGGTGTGTCCCAGTTCGGTTTTCTTCTCGAAAGAAGAACCGTGCGAGGAATGTGCCGTCCCATTTCGGTCGTGAGCTGATAACAAGGAAACCTTTTCAGACGATAGCTTACCATTCTTGGAATGGGTGGAGCTACTCCGAGTTGCCTGTGAAGTACGTCGTGTGCGCTTGCGTTTCCCAGGATTCAACAAGTTCCCTTGACTCTCGGTCATTGAATCGTACCTTAGAAAAGTCAACGGACAAATAAGACGTGAGATAGAGATGTATCAGGTCAGTGCCCTTTAGGAGGACAACAACAGTCTCGTGAAAATGGGCGGAAGTCATCCAACAGCAACAACAGTGAATGACCCTGACAGACATGGTTGTGTCATGTGACTTTGCAAGCAAGCTATCGCTCTCAATGCGTTGTCCTCAATCCCAGACATACCGGACAAACGGAATCATCAGTTTGACGTTAACAAACTGAATTGGCCACCGCCCTCTTACAAGGTGAACGAGTCCGTAGCAGTTAAAACCATTGCACTTCTGTGAACACCTTTTTGGCTAAAGAACCGAAGTGAACTCGATGATTTAGGTCTCTGGGTTGGGACTGCAACCAGGATTTATCAACTTTTCTTGTACAGGGGTCAAAAATCGGACTGTACCTTAGCCGCTATGCTTCCTAAAAATTAAATGACGGGCGCATATCAAACAGAAGTATCCAGCAGATTGATCGGACTCGATGAAAGATGAGCTACACAAATCGAAGGTAAACCCCAAATGAAAAATTTCTCTCCCTTAACTGTTCCATTCTTCAGGCGTACAGGTGGTAGATGATGTGCAAGGAATAACTGCTTGGGTCACAGGCGCTATCGTACACACGGAACTAGTGAAATGTGAACAGCGTACGATGCGAACACCATCGGTAGAATGCCACTCACTCGTTATCCGTATAGAGCGGATTATGATGGCTGACGAATTCTGTGCCTGACCCGGATTGCTCCTCCTCACGTGATCGTCCATTTGGAGTCACGAACTTTGAGGAGTCAGCGACACGATCAGTGTTGACCACTTCATCACAACCCACGGCGCAAGCTCGTTCGGCTGCCAAAAATGAGTCTGTTGAAGACAAGGAAACCGGACGAAGATGGTTGGCAGAGGGCCGCTCAGCCTGTTTGAGAGGCGTAGGAATCGGGGGTTTCGTTTTCTACAAGGATGAAAAAATCAAAAGCGATGAAAAATTATATGTGATGTCATGTTACGATGATGAAAACAAGTGCATAGTTAGTAAACCGGGTTGCTACTGCATTTGAATCTAATACAATTATGCTGTCCAAAAGTCATCTAGAAGCACTTACTATGAATACCATAGCTTGTCAGCGAATACTGTAGTCCTGAGTTATGGCGTACAACGGCGCGCATCAGAACAGAGAAGAGTATAACCATAGGTACCTGGTGCCCAATAAGTCGTTCTCATCCAGACAGTTGTACAAAACGTTTTATGGGTTTTACTGACAATGATACCAAATAAACACAAGCAGCGACGCCGTTTCAGCTTACAGCTGCCAGGTTACCCAGGCCGACAGAAGCAGTCGAGATTGGACATTCCTGTCAGTAATTTTGCACCCTAACCACTGAGCTGTCTCGAACTCGGGTTTTCGTGATGGAACATCAATGAGATGGCTCGAAGGTTAGAAATTTACTGGACTGGCCGGAAAGTGCGTGGTTCGTACCCGACCTCTGCATTTCGACTTCTCCTGTCTAGGCTTGGGCAATCTGGCAGTATCCCAGCTCTCGTGCTTCTTTCGGGTGGCATGGAAGCTAAGCGCCGAAAGAGTGTTTATCATCTATTTACATCAGTGAACCAAATACAGATTTCTACCTCATTGAAGTATGGCCTTGTAGTCTGCAGTCGTTTACGAAGGCTGTGAAAAACAAAAAAAATGGACAGCCCGTGTAACCAATCAGGTCCTATAAATAACGAACTTCGCTGTCACGACCCCTTTACTAATAAGGCTATGAAATTTCACAAATCGAGTGCGAGAGCTAGGCTGTTGATCCATCCCCACTATGAACAAATTTACCTGGTTTTGTCGTCACCCTAATAGAAAATGAATACTGTACCTATAAACCATACTTGAATTGACCGAAAAAAACGGTTAATGGTGGTCGCATCGTACCTCTGTTGACTCAGGTCCTATACGACATTGTTTCAGTCTCAAATCAAGTGGCACGCCATTCTCGGAAGATTTGTTCGGTATGTTGGGCCAGTATTCACCTCTGCGACCCATCATATGCGGCATAGGAGGCTGAGTGGACGGCCGCGGCTCAAGCAGCTGAGAGGTGACACGAGCAGGATGTGGTTCAGGTGGCTCGAAATTCACAATGGAGTAGTCTGAAAACAGAAGATGGGGCCAGATGAGCTATACTGAACAACCGATAGTCACTGTGCTCTTGTTTTTGACCGGTTATATGGAATACTCAAATAAGAGATTGAGACGAAGTGTGTTAGTTTTGCGATAGGTCGCTTCTAAAACTAATTTTGATGCCTTCTAAAACAAACCATGATCACCTTACCAGAGTCAAGCATCGATGCTACACACCGTGCTGCGTTGCATGGCGACAATGACGATGACAGTGGCGTGCATTGGTGTGCAATCGTAAAATAGCAGATAGTGGTGCTTCCGATTCAGTGAGGTTAGGTGAGCATGACTTAAACAGCCTGGATACAGATTCATATAAATACATCAGGACAATGAAAAACGAATATGCAATTCACACTAAAGGTCAATAAGTGTGATGGAAAGCGAAACTGACCATGCGTGTGGGCCGCCGCACATTGTGACACCACACCACGACGGAGCGCTTGACGTGTGATGGTTGCGGGTGGTTCGCTGTATTTACGCTCCGGTGAGGCACGAACATATGTATGATTGGTGACTGAACTATCACAGAGCTTTTCGGTAATGCTGTGCGAAGCATGCGGCCCGGCTATTGCAACACGTGGGGATTGAATTACATCGGGGTTTGCAGGCTGAATGATAGCTGGGCCACCGGGAGCATAAGACTGTTTTGGTTGAGCATAGAGACGCTTATGTGGTGGTGGCGGTGGTGGAACGACTAATTGAGACTGGTTCACCAGAGGGGGCTGCACTGAATGACCCCGACTATACGGCTGTGCATTTGGGGAGACACTAACGGTTTTCGAAGGTATACCGTGAACTACAGATACGGGTCGTGGTGATAAGTCCGGCACAAGCGGTTGCTGGATTTGTGAGACAACAGCTGATTGTCTCAGTGGTTGTTGAACATTGCTGGGTTGTTCCGTTGGAGCGGTTGTCGGCTAGATGTTTCAGCATAAAAAAGAACAGAAATATCCACGGATGAGAGCAGAACAGCTACATCAAAAGACCGTGTGTAAAAGAGTAAGAGTAACTGATGCTGAGTGATATTCCCCATGAAATTTAAGACAACCTAGGAAAGTAAAACAGCTAGCATACAAGCTTGGGCGGCTATTCAAGAAGTAACGTCTAACACAACCAATATTGTAAGTCCAAACTGCCCGTGAGCCTGGAAATGAAATATGTTGTATCCAGAAGTAAAATCTCTAGCAGGAGGTTCAGTGCAGCCGTGAACGTTGAGAAGCTCCGGCGTGTTCCTCAGAAACCTTCTGTCCATCCGCGAGACGGTTATCTTACCTGATGATACTCATAAGGAACCCAATATGATGTTCTCAGTCCGCTGGAAAGAAGAGGCTTCCCCTTCTCCTTGAATCCATGTAGGTTTACAAATAAGCGACTTGATGAGTGGAGTTCAGCGTGCACAATCTCCCTTCCCTAAATAGGCATCTTACCTCAATGAATGCACGTCTCACTGACTGGATTTCAACGAAAATTCTCAATTTACTGGTACACACCCTCACACTTAGCAGACTGATTATCACTAATACATGTACATCTATCCTTCCTTTCGGGAACGTTCGTTAGAGGTCATCGAACATTAACAGCTTGGTCCTGAATGAGAAAGTCACAGCGACGCGTAACTTTGTGGACAGTTGGCCCACTATGGTAAACACATATTGGTAGAATGCTTAGAACTGATTGGTAGTGTAATTTCGATTTTGACACAAGCGTGGACAACAAACCACACATTAATATAATTCGTACCCATATCAAAAACTTCATGCAGTCCACTACCCTGGTGACATTCAAAAAATGAATCGACACACCACGGATAGACGGATACATGTGAGGGCCGGTTATTGAAGTACAGCTACGTTCAGTGTTGTGTGCGATAGCGGAATTGAACCGATTGGAGAAAGACTCAGAGAGACGGACAAGTGAAGCAGTGTGGCAGAATGGCGATAACCTAATACGTGAAAAGAAACGGAGGTGGTCGAATGGAGGAGCATCTCAGACAATCACCCGGTAACTACTCTATCATCACAACACGGATTGGATTTCAGCCATGACACACTCACCCAGACAACGCGCAAGACTGAGAACCGATTTAAAACACTGTTTTATCATTACACTGGTAACTGATTATTCGAAACATGCCCACTGTGAATTCGTCAAGTGCCGCAAGGACTGACGTGGGTAGCCACGTTTATTGGAGTTCCACGATACATACAGGATTCGCTCTGCCTTGATAAGGAGTGGATTTCCATCTAAGACATTTCAGATCGATCGCAGATCCCCATTTTTACAGCGACTGAAATGCCTTCGTACAGAAATATTCTAACTCGATCAGACCCGAATTTCACATAGTACTTTAGCCTAGCAATTTGATACGACAACCAAATTCGTGTGCAAATGAAAGTACTTATCGAAATCTTCCGGAGTTCAAATAGGATATAGGCTTAACTGGAACATGGAGACTGAGCCTTATTGATAAGCTGTAGGAAGGGCGAAACTAATCATCGACTGTCAGAATCTCAGCGTCCTTATGAGTAGTGTGTTACGACCAGACAAAGTTTACTACCAATATCGGGATCGACAATGTCCCGGTTTCTGCATAATGTTCTAATCCACGACAACGGATGCAGATGAATAAACAAAACGGGTCCTAGAAGTTCGGAGTGTCGAAAAGGATAAGTTTGGACAGTACCATGCATGAAGATATTTCGTACTGTCACTTCAAACCAAATCCAACAACCGGATTGATTTGGAAGCGAAAGATATTACAGGCTGATGTGACCAGGCATCTTGCCAGGGTCCATCAAGTGGATTCCATTTGGTCTTCTTCGCCACCACAGCGCAGTTTTTTTCCAGGACCACTGCTTCTATTTGCTTTATGTTTTTCGTCTGGTCGGCCGGCCTATTCGATTCGTAAGCGTACGATTAACACTATTTCGCGTTATTGAACCCGTTTTCCTCAGATTATCGGTGTCGATACTTACGAGACTATATATCCGAAATGCGTACATCCTCCACTCTGTATTTTTGTCGTGTTACTCAAACTGTTGGAGTTTTAGTGGATTCGCGGAGTTTGACACGCGACTACAGTTCTAGATTAAGCTAGACAGCACAAGAAAAAAAGGAGAACAGTGTGATGTGTAGATAAGACTAACCATTTTCTGACTTCTCTGTCCCACGGCTCCCGTGTTCGGCTGTGGTGTTTTGAACGACGCGCGCTTGGCGAGATTAAGCATGGCGAATGCCGCCCGGTTAGCATAGTCCACATCCGGTTCGGGAATAGTTGCCAAAATTGAACAGAAGTGTAGTGGCAAACAAGGTCGAGATCGGTTGGGTCCTCCAGGGGCTGCGGAAGCTGGCACCTGAGCCGATAATAGAATGCGTCCGGTTTGTGTGTCGACGCAACGCCAGACTAATGGTTGACCAGATTTGAGAATGATATTGAGTCGAGCACAGGGGATCGCGTTGATCACATCGTCAGTGGCCAGCAATAAATGCTGTCTATTCAAAGCGGGTACATGGGATTCGTGAAGTAGATGAAGACAAACATTGACTGGATCACCCCATAGGTTGAATACTGGGCGTTGTTTTCCAATCAAACCCACAAGTGCAGGTCCAGCGTGAAGCGCTGCAAGGTGAGTCAAAGCAAAATGACGCTAAACTCGGAAAATGAATGAAAGGTAAGCGGACACAAGACAACAATAGAGAATGAGCACAATACATCCGGAGGACATTCGGGAGAAACATTTTCGCACTGGGTGGACATTCTCCAGTCCCTCTAAAGAAAAAGACAATGGTCAAAAGTGTCAAAAGTGTCCGTGGATGTGTTTGACCAGTAGTATGATCTGAAACACACGGCCCTCGAAATCAGATCACGAATTCGATGCCCCTGAACATCAATCACCGGAATTGGCGGAGAATTCGCAATTCATCGTAACTTTTAATGATCACCCAGTGAAGTAGTTACGAACAAGATGACTGATTACATCATCCACAAGTCACTACCACATCAGTCCCACTCTCCTACACATCCACACAGTGGTTCAAACAACAGCTTTACAAGCATTACCCAGCCAGGTCGATTAATCAGAGAGGAGCGACATCGTCCCATGACATTATTGTAGGTGTCCTATGCCTTCAAAGACTGATTGTTAAAATTCGAGAGCAGAGTAATCCATTGTGTTTACCTTTGCTGCTGCCTGCGTGTTACTGAATTCGGGCCTCATTGTAATATAATCCGAATAAGTTCAAACCAATTGAATATAACCCTGCTTAGATCAAAGTGTACTCGTGGACTGTTGATGATATCAGTGCTTAAACATTTGGTATTGGTGTCAGCTAGGCTGGGGAGCCTATGCAGGGACAGATGTGAGGTAGGGTTTCGGCCAAAGTTCGCATCTGGCGTCAACACGTACGAACTCCCCCGGGGTGGGCCTCAGGATTCATAATTGCAAGCCAAGGTGAAATACTTGCAGCTCAACACAGTGTAAAGGTGAACGCGCAGGATTCTGCTTGGAAAGACCAGAGGCCCGAGCTGACGACCATGAAGAAATGTGGTATTCAGCTTGTTCCGGTAATGGACTCCTTGATGGGGAGGGGAGTGAACATACTACGTTCTAGATAAAGACAACACCTCTCTTCGGGAAATCACCGCAACATGGTGAAAGTGATCTACTTACCTACACGGAGGTGGATAAAACTGTTGGTAGATCTAGCTTTGCTGTTCACTTCTTCACATGCCTCCAGTATCCTCTCGGTGAAAGTAAGCAAATGCGTCAAATGTTCTGTTCGTGAGTCGGAGTCCTGTTTTGGGGAAAAAAGTGAGTCAAACGTTTACGGAAAAATAGTTACACAACATGCTCTATCGAGACCACTGACTATCACAACACACAAAGAAGATGGTTGCCCTCTCTTATAGGTGGTTTCTATACCGGAAGGGCGTGAATTTTTTTTTGTATAACTGACAGGAAACGCTGTTGTCTACTCCCTTTGAAAAGCGTGGATCACTGGATCCCAGTCATTCACCGTTCTGTAGTAGAATATGATTTTGTCTACAACAGCAGAAGAATGATACCAAGTTGTCGAATAAAACGGATACAATGACATAAGCACTGTTCGAGCACACCACAACAAATGCTGTAGATTAAAGGGTGGCCGAAGGAGATGTTCAAGCCACTGCTAGCATAACATCTGACATCCTGCTTGCACTACACAAACGATTTCAATTCAATGTAACGTGCACGCTGCACCTGATTGAACAGACGGTGAGAAGTGGGAGCGCTCCGCAACGGAAAACCTGAAGGAAGCCGACATGGAACCGACTACAGGAAATCACTCACATGTATCGTATCGGACGGCAATAGTCCGACAGCATAGCCTATGGTAGCTCCACCGACGTGAACTTTGACTAAGCTGGGAGCTGAATCAATCAGTTGACTATCACTCATCCTTCCAATCAGAGAACCTCCTCCATCTCTGCTACTCTTAGAACGTTTTGTAACGCCTCCTCCGGTGGTTGCCAGGCCATCGATCAAGCTGATCATGTGGTTTAACAGCCGCAATCGATCTGCAATTTGGGCGGGTTCCTCTCCATCTTCCTCAGTGACTGCTGACTTGTCGGTTAGATCATTCGGTGTTCCAGTCATCCGTTTCATACTGCAGCTTTTAGCTCGAGGATCAGGACTGACTGACAGCTGGATAAGCACCAGTCCCACGAGGTGATACGGCTTGGAATACAATTCGCAAGCTCTGGATGGACTACAGAGGACCGCAACAACAAATCGTGGAACGGCTGAGATGAGAAGCCGAGCCAGTGCAAGTCGCGTTGCACTAAGTGACTGGACAGCCTCATTGCCCTGAAAGATGGAAAACAGATGGTAAATACCAAGGGTAGCAATAATAACTGCAGGAGACTAAGCACTACTGCAACTTACCTTAGTGATCCACTGTCGCAACAGACGTGTTTGATATTCCAGGTTGCGCGGTAGCACGAAAGCCAACAAAGAGAAGGCAAACAGACCATACCAGTGTTGTATTACTGTGGAGTGGAGCAATTTCTTCCCGGGAAAGCTGTCAGACACGAAGACAGGGTAAAGGAACATAGAGAAATTAAGATGCCAGCTTGGACAGAAAGGAGAATGCAAAAGAATTCGATATAAAGTGGAAGCTTCCAGGAGAAGTTACAACCAAGCGGAGGCCTGAACATCCATCCCCGTCGCCAGTATTATAAGTCCAAAGTTACTTAGAACACACATATATGAAGACAAGGATGCATTTGTACGTGCAGCCAAACAGGTCCGCTTTGTAAAGCTAGTATACAACTCTGATCACACGTTCAGGCATCATACAACAGTAGTGACGAACGTGCAAACTCTTGGACATATCCAATCAGCTACTACACCAATTTATCCGGAATAGTAAAGTAAAGCCGGTTATAGAGCCCAGACTTTCCAGGCTTCCAGTATAGAGATGAAAAAAAGCTAGATTACGTGACTGTAAAAGCAACGACCAATCTAAAACAACCTGTCGCGAGAGGAGATAGGTGCAATGAAGTTACTGGAGAAAGACAAGTCCATCTACGTTACCAAAGCAGACAAGGGCAATGTAACGGATGTCATGAATCGAAAGGACTATGAAGACAAGGTGCTCGAACACCTGACACGGAGTCCTTATACAGAAAGCCAAACTCTCAACAAGACCAAACTTTGGGTCAATAGGTACCACATCAAGCAAAACCAAAGCTCGATCAAACACGGTGGTATTCACTCGATTCTAAATCTACGAGTTGCCAAAACCACGCAAAACAGGCAATCCAGTAAGTTCCGTCACGGACTATACTATTTGTTCAAATTACAATTTACTTGAGCAGTTTGTTGAAGCCGTATTATCAGGTAGTCAAGTGAGTGACTTTTGGTTTTGTTAATATCCTCTAATCTATCTACATCACTGATGACAACGTAGCAATCAGCTTTTACTTAGGAGCTCTCTGTACTCGTGTACCAATCGACGACTGCTGTATAGCTGTGAGACTTGGCCTCTTCGAGCATCGAAACTGATAAGTCTTCAGGTGTTCGAAAATCGTTGTCTCAGAATCATAAATCGTATGGGTTAGTGTTCGCGTATCCGTAACCGAGGCAATTAGAGGGCGAGTTTTCGGTTGTGCAACGGGTACTTCCATTGAAGAATGTGTCCAGAACCAGAAGCTGTGTTGGTTGGGACATGTGATGCTGTTGTATCTGCTAATTCGCCAATCTGTTGTATCTGCCCGCTGACCCCGCTTCAGTCCCTACTGCCGAAAAAGACTCAGAAGGGAACCGTTCAGCTGTAGCACCCTTTCGGTGCCTAGCTGCCATGTCACCCGAAGGAAGCACGAGGGCTGGAATACTGCCAGGCTGCCCAAGCCTAGACAGGGAAGTCGAATCTGACCTTCCTGACAGTTGCATTTGCCAAAGAGAGTGCTGTTTTCCATGCCCAATCCAGAGTGGCGGAAGCAGACGTGACCAACCTTTGACCTGGCAGAGGGGTATGAAGGAGATTGCGAAGCCTTTGGGTGTTATCAGTGATGCTCGCCTTCCAGGATGCGGACCGCGTGATCCCCACTGCGCCTGCTTGGAGGCGCTATAAGATATGGCTGCTAACAGATGTCAGTGGCGTTCTTATTGTCAATTTCTAACCAGATTGCATGAATGAGCGTCTGGAGATGTAGGCACCACGGAATGATTGTGGTAAACAGCACTAAGTCCCTTCCCCCATCCATCTTTATTCTTTTCTCCACACTAAGGCTTTCAGATAAATCATGGTTGTACGGCATCGAAGAATCGATGCTGAACACTGATGTCATGCTGTCAAGGATGATGATCGACGAGTGTTTATCTTTTGCCCTCCTTTTTGAGCGAAGATATACCTCCAGTACAGAGAACAACCTTTTCTCCAGTCGGTATTAGTACTGGTGTTGAACTGTGCCTAAGGACCCCTTATTTCTTCCTCTACAGATAAACTGACGGTGTCGCCAAGGGCTCTCCAGGTTCATGCATAGTGGTTGATCTTTCCTTGCATCGTGCTGAAGCTAAGGCCTTAAGCGACTTCGCCTATCCACTACGCACCTGGCTGAGATAGGTTGACGACATATTTGCGCTCGTATCAGCTTCTCTAAACTGCCTGAACGAACAATGTAGTAGTATGAAAATCACGATGAAAACTGACGACTGTTAGTTTCCTCGGCTGCAAGCAATCAACCAAGGATTTTTAGTGACAATCCACAGAAACCCCACACACATTCAGACAGCTACTCCGCATCCACATTACGTCAAACGCGCAGCAGGCTGATCGCATCAAGGAAATATGCTCGAATGAGTCCGTACGAGCAAATGAACTGAAACGACTCAGTAGGGTTGTAGCGGTCATTCACTAGATCACGCGTCACAAACACTCAAACCACGTGATTGTACCAATTGTAACCTGAGCCGACAACATATACACTGCAATTTCCCATCCATTTTTGTTTACGCGGCTACCACCTGTGTCACGCGCCAGGCTTACGAATTTCAACCACATCAGGTCAAGTTGTATTCATGTTCTTGCAAGCATCAAACACGGAGTGACACCCCTCTCTTCACACAATAGATAGGCATACCACACGGTCCAATACACACACGTGCGCGCACAGGACAGAAAGTCAACCGAGCTCCACAAGTTTCCACGGCTAACTAGGGGACACGTGTAGCAGCTTTGCTACAGAGGGGACAGGTCCCGGGTCCGGACTTTGACTGAGAAACTGTCAACAAGTATCCTCAAACGATGAGTCACTTTTGGGTTTATTCCACTATCTTTATCAAGTGCACCTAACTATTGTATTCATCATCATCCTGGTAAAACAGATATTTGTTAGTGTTTGTTGCCTTTGATAATCAACTTCATTACGTTACAACTAGAGGACTAACGGGGTACTGCAGCAAAATGAATACCCCATGGGGCTCATTGTCTAACAAATGAGAACAGTTTGACAAGGAGAAAATTCAGAGCCTTCCGTGGGAATACCCTTCAGAAATAGCACCTCAGAAGCCATTCGAAAGGTATTTCGGGATTAAGATATTAAAACATTCTTTCGACGGTACCTTTTAGGGGCTTAGGACTGCACCAGCTGCGTCTACCAAACTTCCTGTACAGTGTTTAGCCAAATATATAGGCCAGACAACCATGCAACTCCACGCGCGAATCACGTAACATGAACGACACGCGCGTTTTTCCCCGCGAAACCCTGTCGAGCTCAGAAAGCCTGAACATCACTCGGGCATTGCATTTCACGCACTTGAGTCAATCCATGAAAATAACTTCGATGGTACACGTATACTCCAGTCAGGATTCAAGTCACACGTGGAACGGACGTGCGCCAAAGTCCTAGAGATCAACACACCGAACTGCGTTCGATGGTACACGTATACTCCAGTCAGGATTCAAGTCACACGTGGAACGGACGTGCGCCAAAGTCCTAGAGATCAACACAACCGAACTGCGTCAACCGTAGTGGTTGAGCCAGCATCCCGTCTTACTGCACACAGTAGGCCCGGGGGTCAGAGGTGAAGCAGGAATCTCAACAACGACGCATCACAACAGCCAGCACAACAACCTAAGGCACATTCCAGTCAAAGCACACAACCACACGCATACGCGAATTGAACTTACAAACCCACACACCCTGGTCGCCTTAGACTGCAACTCCCTCAGAAACACGTATCAAAAGACACTATAGTGAACCCGAATAGCGCTGCACACGATTAGCACTCAATTCACTATGGAGATTCTTGGAAAAGGCTGCCCACGGATCACAACGTATTGTTCTACGAAGTTGTTTTGACTTGAAGCTTTCTATATAAATCAGGATTTAGTTGGAAGTAGGCCACAGTACAAATTTGAGACATGCTACTGGGAAACTGCAACCGACCATCCAGCATACATACATACGATGACAGGTTAGGTAGGACTGACTGTAGCGACTAGACGAATTTACAGTAAACACATCTTAAACTAGTACTTGAAGAGTTTATCCCAGGGAAAATGGAAACATGTGGTTCCGTAGAACGCTTTTCGGTAATGGCTACATACTGCTGATGTCTTCTTATTCATTGTGTACACTGTAATTAATTAACTCTCGGATGTACACCAAACAATCACACGCAGGCTGACACCGGTCAAAACTCTAAGTCATAAGCTACAGACTACCGATAAGTTTATTCACGGGAACAAAGGTCTCTTTGGTGTGTGTGTTCTCATCTGCGAGCTGTGTATAGTTCCGCCACACGAATCTACAAAGAATGCAAATTCATTATAATACTGCCAACAGATAAACAACGAATCATAGTGGTTTTGGATACGCCGGACTATAGTGAGTAATCCAAACAGCTATTGAATGTCACAAGCACATATCTACCAGTCGATGAAAACCCCACTTCGAATGAACACCATGTTTAGAGAACTACAAGCTACACACAAGATAACCAACCAGTCGAGAACGATGGAGGATGAAAGCCAATGATTCTTCACTACCAGGAACTCCGGCACACAAGTGGGCAAAAAAATCATGGAGGAGAATCAATCATTCTAGTGTGAAATCAGAACACCTAATAAACAATACTGGACAATTTCTAAAAAACACACCAAGAAATCAAGATGGAAAGCGATGAAATTGTGCTCCCGTTGGAAGTCGCTGACCTATTTAAAGTAACTGATCACAGTCCCGCCAAGGAGAACTTGAGTGAACTACTTCAGAAGGGCCTAAACACACGAGGAACAGTGCGATTGGAAAGTATTTGCAAGATTTTAGACCTGTGTGTGGATCCATAATTCAAGTTTGAGGGATAAATGTACAAACAACTGAAAAGAAATGCAATGACTAAGCCATCGCGTGCGTATCAAAGCTCTGGATACGCCCCATGGACGACACTTTCATTAGTTTGAAACAGGATGCATTAGAACGCGCACATGAATGGTTCGACACATCTCAAGATATCGAATTTACAATAGAAATGAAAAAGAATAACTGCATAGCGATTGTGGATGTAGTGGTGAAAAGGAACGCAAACGAAACTCTTCAAATGTGTGTGTGTCGTAAGGAGACACACCGACAAATTACTACGCTAGACACTCATAGGGGAAGTTTCATCCAAACTTTGTTCTGGAGAGCGGAGGCGCACCGCAGAACTCAGAAAGAAAGGAGAAATCAGCTCTGTGGTGTACAAGGAATACTCTTGGAAAAGAGTTTGGGGAAAAAGACGACTGAAGGCAAATTCTGGTAGTCCACAAACACTGGTGAAATTGATTTCAAGACCAAAAGATAAGAAACAACGCTGATCACCAAGTCAACTGAGCGAACAGAAACAAACAATACACTAAACCGATAAAGGAACACCACGCGACTGTAAACAGGCCTATGATATATTATTTCCATACATGAAGATCAGGAAAGACACCGATTCAATTTAGAAAACAAGAAAATAGTGGAAGAAAAGCAGACTAGGAGAAATTTTTAGCAGCGCTGCACTCTGTAGATGAATCAATCGGAGATCTATCCTGTTTACGCGCCGTTATTAGCGGGGGGCGGCAGCTCAATGGTAATATTGAGTCAAACGCGGCCACCAAACCAACGGACCAAGAAACAGAACTCACTGTATAGCCAAACAAACAAACCTCACGGTGGGGTGAGCACCAGGCAAGTTGAGTCTCAAGGTCGCACGAACACCCACCGATCAGGTCAACCAACAAGTCAATAGTGATGCCCAACCCAACGAAGAATGACCAGTCAGGGTCGATGGGTATACCCTAGTTTGACTGACGTACGGGCAACAAGCACCCACCTACACTCACAACGGACTGATGATGTTATCGCAACTGGTGATGACACATCTGCAGTCATATTGCCCAGCTCAGTGATCGAGCAATCTTGGAATGTTTCATACGCTTCACAGTTACTCTCCAGCATAAACATAAACGAAGAAGCAGGTGAAAATGAATCGAATTGACTGAAAATAAAGCGACTCTCAGTGCAAGTGAGACCACTGAGCCAACCGTCGTGGGATTTCCTTACGGTTCTGAAAGTTATCCTACTTTTTTTCTATGTCAAAAATCAGTCGGTCAGTATGCGGCTGTGGAACGACAAGTGCCGCTCCTGGGTACAAGGGTATTCCAAAACAAAGGAAAACCCAAGTTCAGTCAGTATCAGTTCAAGAACGAAGCGACAGTGCTGCTGATAGCAGTTGTCACATCACAGAGAGAGATCATTGCCAAACAAAATGGTGGACTTCAAAGGACAGTCTCCTCTGGAGAGAGAGGTCGACCACTGAATACATTCTACGGGATCACTTGAAAGTGGTCTGCTTTGGGTGCTCTTTCCTGATGATGTTGTCTCCGAAAGATGGAAACAATCTTCGGACGAAAGTCGGGGAAAGTAGACAGAATTTTCCGTGTTAGGAAGAGAAAACATGTGGATGACTGTCAAGATTTAGCGCTTCAGAAGGGGTTCATTATTGGGGTGGCGAATTAGTAGAGGTAGAAGACAGTAGGAATATCGGGAGACTAGGCAGATGTAACTGTGACGCGCCACACAGTGAGCACGGCGAATGTTATTGCACCGTAGTATTTCATCGCCCGTCTCTTACAACGGGTAATTACTGACTGTGACCGTTACGTTTCCGTGCCGACATAAATGGAAGGGGTGATGAACTGAACAGTCTGGCGAGCATTGACCGATCGTCACCAATTTATCAACGCGCTTGTGGTATTTCTGCACATCCATCCGCTATACACGAGAAAAGTAACCATGGCCGGATTGTATTTGACAAACGAGAAAAGTAACCATGGCCGGATTGCTATTTGACAACTAGCTCATGTGAAGATCTCCGTTCCTTTGTAACGATGTGGATATATAAAAAGAAATGTGCCATTCGGTCATTGTCGTCTGGAAAACCTCGTTGGCTGGCAAGATTGACATCTAGGTATGCAGACAAAGGTCGGGAGTGGAATGCTGTCAGACGAAGTCTGAAGGCACACTGCAACCTGGAAACAATAGCGCTTGTGGATTTAGATCTTTACATGAACAAGTGTGCGGACCCAGGCGGTCAGATCAATGAAGAACGAGACTCTAACGTTCCAAGACAATGGTCCAATTTTCAGTGTATACTGTGTAGGTCGGTAGTAAATTCAATTGCAGATGAAATAAAGTGACGGCACAAATTGATTGCTCCATCTGCTGCAGAACGCACTTCGACCCTTTATCACCGCTTCCATAGTAAATGAGGACCAGAAATAACTTTGTAGACATGCTGCACCTATCAGTCTATCCACTGCGTCATCTCTCAAGAACGAAGCCTCATCGATAAGACAGTGCCCTACCAAGGATAGGACAAACGAAAGAGGAGTGGTTAGAAGCGAGTCCTCAAATTCACGAGAACAAACGTAACCGAACTCCGAGGTTTCGCAAAGATGTACAACTGCATCAGATGGTTCACTCTGCTTATCGATTACTTTTGAGCACAGGTCGTTTTAGCACAGGCTACTTGTTCCACCAACAGTTAGTAAGTATAAGTTAAACATTACATTGCACGAAAAATAGACAGCGTAATGGACATAGCTGAAACAGTTTAATCGCCGATATTTCTGATTATTACGTGAGGACTGGATCAGGGTACGATGGATTGAGGAAATACATACAGATGTTATGCACTTGCGCTGATTCACATCTCATCACATACTCGCACATGGTAAAGTGGACAGAAAGTATAAACTAAAGACCTAACCTGTGAATAGCTTTCATCTGTGTGGTCCAAGATCACTGATACTCGATAGAAAAAAACACTGTCAGTCGGGTAAAGTGCTAAATTAAATTGAACACTGTATACCCCGAGGGACAAGCTGCAAAAATAAAATGGGGAGTGGAATAAACAACAATTAATAAGCCCTGTTTAGATAAACAGCGGTTGACGGAATCGTTCTATACAAAAATAGGGACCTAAATGAGATACCCACACAAAGATATTGGGGAACTGGCATGTGCGTTTCGCTCCGATCACTCAATGCATGAGAATGAATTAACTCTGAGTCTTCCACGAAGTTTCTGGCACCACACAGTAGAAGTACCTATAGGCTTTAGACGAGTACAGTCTTGTCCAATCGTACGCACTGCCTTCACATCGGGGACGTGCGATCCTTGATCATCTTGCGCAGTAACCACTGTCCAGCACAAACAGTAATTTGGAGCCACAGATGGCCGTGTGGAAAGCGGGGACAGTAAGCAGTCAGACTGTCCTATTTGGGTTGGACAGGCCAGTTTTCTGAAGCCGCTATCCCAACGACAGTAAGTATGATTATCCCATTATGATCTGACTAGCAGTGACGCAGGTGAATTCAACACTGATAACTGGGTTCCTCAGAAGTCCCCACCTGAGCTGAATGACGGACGAAAGACTCCGGATATGATTTGTATGTGATAATAGGATGATATCAATTTTGTGTAACCGAACGAACTCTGATAAACAATATAGTGCATTTGACAGTGTGACAGATAGGCTGTTGCAAAACAGAACCACTACCAATTAGTGGGAGGCACGTCTAATGTTCACATCATTGGATGGCGAGTGCAGTGAGCAATCACAGGACCACATAATGACCAGATGAGAAAGGACACCCCATCGGTAAACCTAGAGCGACAGAACTACCAAAAAACAGGCAAGAATCTGTTCCACTGGAGAAATTGAAAGTGGTCTGATGTGTGAAACAGGTTCCAAACACCAAGTTGTGCTGTGACAGTAAAATAGCCTAGGTCGCCACAACCAAAGCCATTTCCAATCTGCACACAGTTGAAAATACTAACGAAGTCGACCTGCCATCTGTGTTAGAGTCAGTCAAACGGTGTGGACTGTTGCGGGTGTCACCAATCCAGGACTCGACTGGAACAAGAATGGTTAGCGTGCCAGATGCATGATAAACAGCTGTGAATGAGCCGAAGAACCGGACACCCAAATTTGGTCGATACAAGTCTATGCAAGCTAGTTTTCAATGCTATCTGCGCAGCCCCAGTGCGCTGTCTTGATGGCAAGTCGAACAATGAGGCACAGAAGGATAGCTGAGTTTCAATGGACATCGTACAGAGTGTGTAGGGAGCTGACCTGGACAGTGAGCCATGTTCATAGACAAACAGACGATGTTTACTCAACCCATAGTAAATTATCACTGACCGTCGGTTGTTAAGCAAATTTGTACGTGTTCATGAATGTGGGCTGGGTGAACGCGTGGCATGCAAAGTTAACGGGCATTATTTCTGACGGACAAACAAACAAACAAACAAACGACACACAAGCCAGGAAAGTACATTCGGATGAAAATCGAGAGATCGGAAAGACTTACTTGGCACTTGAAGGCTGCAACTGGCGAAACATGTCATTGTGAAACACTGCCCAAAAGTAAACGGCCCCGTGGGCTGATAGAATAAGGAACGTGCACCAAAATCGCGTGAGCTGCGGTGTATAAACCGTACAGGCACTTGGGGATGTTTGGTGAGCATTCTGCAAACCGGAGCCAGATCCAGGCACACTGGATGCGTAGATAACCGTGGCATAGACAATGGCTGGGAGCAGACACGAAATACTGCTCAGAAGAGCAAACTGAACAGGAACCATGCACAGCTGATTAGTTGTTGAGTTGGACATGGTAGATGGATTTCGCGGACGCAAGAGCAAAACGGGTGCTGTGGGTGTGACGCGGGAGTCCAACGAAGCATTTAGCAGAACTTTGGTTGAATATGCCGGCTGACATAAAGACTGTAAGTGGAGAAACGCGAGGATTTACGGGATGCGGGAAAAGACTTCGTAACAGAAAACAGCGTCATACAGTCCACTATCCAACTCTTGCAATTTCAGTAGTGAAAAGCAGCCCGGTATAACGAAGATAAAACAGAACAAACATCGGTGGAAACAAGTCTACTGTTCTACGCACACGGGAGAATGGAGACAGAAGTCAAAACATAAGGAGTCAATCTACAAAATGTGTGTAGAATAACAGCTAACTAGAGAATAAACTCAGTGTATAGAAAAACAAGCATAAGGGAGAGAGGGGACAGAGCATTAGGCACCGACCCTAGATGCGATGGCTGACGAAAACGAACTCAGTTAGGTCGAATCAGACGACCCAGGGGGAAGCGGAAGGCAATAGGTAGACTGGAACCAAGAACCTCCCAACGAACTGCCTTAACCTATGGGCAATCTTCGGGTCACTGATGCTCATAATGATAAGTCAGTCAGGCGACTCAAAGAGAACCAGGAGATTTTGTGATACAGTGGAGTGAGTGCACATGTGGTCGGAAAGTGGATGCCACGCTTGTTACGTACGAAGGAGAGCATCGTTGGTTTTCTGTAGTTCCCTGAGTCACGAAACAACCGCTCAAGGAGAAGGATCATGACCCCACATCAATGGTCAGCACTGGTCTTCAACTGCTGCAAAAGTATACTGCGAATGAGCATCAGTACTCACAAGCATTAGTTAACTGCAAGCCCATCAAGGCCGAATGCAACAGGCCTCATTGCCACGAGACAACACTGCTCTCAGGCAGTCGCTTTGTGTGCACGACGCATTAGTACAATTAGTACTGATGTCGCAACATACATACATGAAAGAATAAACAATTCATCTGACATACTTCAGTTATCTGTGTACCTACTATTAGTATGAGTGACCAAAACGTTTGACATATTCAAGGACAGTTCCACACGAGCTCCGTCAAGCGCAGTACTCATACACACCCTGTTACCCTGTGACACTAGGTTGTATTGGCTGAATAGTAATGCGTGCATTACCGCCAGAGAAGGAGACAGGCTTCAGCGTTGAAAGCCAAGTGATACGGTCAATGTGCAAGTGCTTCAGTGATCATTAATGGACATTCATTAGCCTTGACCCATACCGGCAGTTGTTGACTCTTACTTCAATGCGACTGTCACGTAAACTGGATTTTCTCAAGCTTTTCAAAACCATAGTCTACAAGTTAGACCATGAACACCAAAAGTACGGTAGGCTGAAGTTTCTAGATGGAGTGATAGTGACTGCCAAGACAACCAAGCTGGTGGACGAACACGAATGAATGAACCACAAGAGAATTTTTCGATCCGTTCGCAGATAAACCAACTGAACAACAGTACGCAAAATCTGCGATAACCGCCGTTTTTAGGAGTCTCAAGTGCCAGTATGGTTGGAGTGGAAGTAACTGAAAAAAGGTCGATTAGAAGAGTACCGACAATGTATTTATCGGAGGCTTCGAGAGGTAAAACCTAGACAGTGGACGCCACGCAGAACGCGTTCGTCGCCAAACGAGTGGCTGAGAGCTCAGACAGAATGAACGCAACTGCGTTCCGATCGCACTCATTTTTGTGACCATTCGCTGCACGTGTTGCTCAAAATCCAATCCAAGACACAGAATAAACTGTTGCCTGCGTCAGGATTTCGAGCTACCCAAGTTGATTTTCAACCAAAAACTGCTGTGAACCATTGGGACTAGCAACCCATATTCTTGGTTTCCACAATACCAATCAAAACTCGGGAATTGGTAAAAGCACATGGTTTTCATGGAAGAACTTACCAAAGTGATCAGCTCTGCAGCTACAACGACCAATATGGAGCCAGTGATTAGAGCACGGGCTGGGATGGCGTGAACAACAGGACCTAACGGCTGGAAGAGAACAGAAAATTGCCAAACTTTGTTTTGGTGACGGAGACACAAGAAGCAAGAATCAGCATCAGGTTGTAAAAATACATGAATAAGTAAATAGTGAATAAAAATAAATAGAGGATAATAGAAAGTTGCTTTATACGAGGCATCCAGAAACTGGTCAAAATCCCCAATCCGGGATCATCCCTGTACCGTAATTGGCAAGTCAGCATAGAACATGAAGGTGATCACTAATATAGGCGTTAGTAAACGGCTACCTTATGATCCAATCGGGTTGACAGACAAGATTCATCAGCGAGTGAAAGCGTCAGGGGACTGCCCTTACAACCAGTATCGTACCAAAGACGCTTAGCAGTACTTGAGAATTCGCTGAGCCGAAAAGTGGAGAAGTTTTTGGAGGGAACATTCGAATCCCATAGGGCGGACAAGAAGCGAACTCTCCGTGAAGCAAACTCACAGTTTCAACAGTTCCGATGAAGAACACCGGACCTAGGTGTCGAAAGTTTCCAAGGGGAAATCGGTCCCGGGAAACAACCATATTTAACGCAACACGGTAGATTTGTTGGTGCTCGAACTCATTCAGAGGGGGTTAGGCGACGTGAAAATGACTACAAATACAAAGCAATCCGAGTAACCAACTACGGGACATTCAACAGAGAAGAGGGAAGACTACCTCTGATTCACGTGACGTAGCCAATCAACTAAGGACTGTATTCTATTGTGTACGTGAGTACTACTGCTCACATGAACCTCTTCAAATGCTACCGCAATCTACATGTGTCCAACTAGTGCCAGATATTACCATGATGCATGTCTGCGGTAGGGTATCTAAAACGATAACCGTTCGACCGTTGAACTTGTGTGTTACAAACCCAACAGCGCCGCCGCCAACAGATTGGTCGATCAGATACTTCCTACAGAACATCACTTAGGATTATCGGAAAAGTTGGGATTCAGTGGTAATCAGTGGGGCGTTTTCTGCGCATAGGACCTCTGATCTACCGCTCTTTATCACCAACTTGTCGCTCCACAGCAGTTCGACCCACTGGTTATGCATGACGTCCAGTGGTATTGGAGAAAGCCACATCAAATAACTCGCGTTATGATGAGTTGAGGGGGTGACTTTCCCGCAATCATTTCAATATTCGCGAAACGTGAATCATATGAATTGAAGATGAGTGTCAAGTGAAACTGACAGGAGGCGGTATCCAGAAGAACTGTATTATTCAGACCTTGTATAATATCAGATACGTGACGTTCGTTCTCATTGAAGTTCAACATGAGCCAATCAAACAATCACCTCAAGTGCAGTTATACGTAAATCGGAGCCTTTCAAACCCCGTATCGATTACTACTGTATAAAATCGAATCGGGGCAATAAAAGGCCTGGCTAAGCAACGAGTGAGTTGTGAGAAAGTTGATACGCCCAATTCACCGGTGCGAACTAATTTGTGGCTCGTCAAATCAGTCTGGGAATTCAATTGAAGCGGAAGCGGTATTACATTCCGCGACAATCAGAGTAACTCGTAATAGAAGGGGGAACTCCAGTTGATATGACAGAACGGAGAAGAAAAATGGGTGGGTCGAGGTATGCTTCAATGCGCCGCCGAACTGACACATTTCAACTTTACATCCAAGACTGCATTGTGGATTGCGCGATGAGATATGCTGCTCAATCTAATAAGGAATGTCATGGATTGAACATTATTGAGATTTTATGAAATGATGAGACGACTCGTTAGCTGATTTCAGTAGCGAATGATTCTTCAGGACGATGTATCACGACAAAATGGCCTGGTGGAAACATGGATAGAACCAACAGGTGATGGCTGAAACAAAGTGCGGATGCAAAAACTGTTGTACATGGAAAGTGTCGAAACCATAGCAGGTGTCGCATTGAGCTAAAATAAGCAACACACACGCGCAAGAAAGAATGCGTTCGTGTTAAAGAAATCAACCGAATAAGCAGGATTTTGTCGGGAAGGAAAAAGTCGATGACGCAACTGGCTGGTTGACCAGGCATATCCCAATTTTCGAAACGGTGCATAAAAACAGCTGATAGGATGTCACGATGATTGTATCACCAAACTATCATAACCTGGAAACTTTGGAAACGCTGAAGGTCAAACACAGGACGCACGAAGAATCCGGGGACCAAAACCTACGACAAACGCTAGGAAATGATCACACGAAGTACTGTGTTTCCTCTTCCCTCCATAAACACGCACCTAACGCGCTGCCTTAGGTGGTGGTAGGGTGCATAAGTTTAACACATACCTGAAATTCAACCTAGGGTGAGCACGAGAGCTGAGATGGTTGAGTTATTTACTGAGCTTGGTGAATTTGTCGCAAACGTCTTGAGGCACCACATGCGCGTCGTTTGTTAGCGGTGTCTCGTAGTGCACAATGCTACTCAACTAAGCATTGACGACCTCATCTAGATTGGCGACGAAACGTTTACCACAAAACTGTGAAGCTCGGTGAGCAAATCAACCAACAGTCACACCACATGAGCGATCAAATTTCTCCAGTCTAACCAAGCCTGGGCAACAGAAATCGAAATCGCAGACCTCTCGAGTAAGACTCGCGCCTTAGTCACCAAGCTATGCCAACAAAGATACTGCGATGCGAAGCACAGCATAAAGAGGACAGAAATCGAAATCGCAGACCTCTCGAGCAAGACTCGCACCTTAGTCATTAAACTATGCCAAGATACTGCGATGCGAATCACAGCATAAAGACGTGCACCTAGTCAACCGGTACTTTTACGGTCTCATTAGCCCTTGAAAAAAGTCACAAGAACAATTTGGTGGCGGTACTATGCTAGATATCTTTGTCTTTTCTCGAAATTCACCTTCATGGACGGACACATCGCCAGTGTTGAACCTCTACGATTCACCGTGGTAGAACGATATTTTTGCGCAGGCCGATTAATACCTGGGAGAGGAAATTCGCCATGGTTAGAGTGCACATCTCAGCAGGTTCAAGAATATTTCTACTGATAGCGACGGTCAGCAATGAACACCTTTCTGTCAAAGATATTTCAGCAACCTTGTGAGTAGTTACCTTTCTTTATTGTCAGACTGCGATCGACTCCGTTAGCAGCGAGATTTGATAGCGGCATTTCACACAAAAACAGTGCCGAGAACTAGATGCACACATTTCTGGTTAAGTCTGTAAGTTTCCTCAATCAGCGTTTTATATCTGCTGCGTCACTATCTGGACCCAACTGATCAAACAGGCACATCTCACCAGTGGATCCCACACAGATGTATTCAAGACATCACCTTTCTATTGTAAACAACAGAGACCTTAGTAATGGGAAACACGGGATATTCGGGTATGCATACAAAATGCCGAATTTGATGACATTTGAAAAAAAGTACCTCCTTTCATGCTTTGCAGACGATTGTAGAGCGCACAGACAACTACGCCCAATTTGCAAGGGAAGTCCAAAAATCCTGGTTTAAGAAAGTTACTTTTCAGAACATAGGGGCCAAGTTGTTTCCTTGTGTTCATAAACCGGTGCAAAAGTAGCTCTGGAATACCTAAAATTCTACCCCAAAATTTGTTGCATGAAGACGTTCTTGCTTAGTAGCACAAAAACCATCTGCAATACGCTTTTGTTGCATTGCTGTCATGTCACCAGAGGAAATTACGATGGCCAAGATACTGCCGGATTATTCAAGCTTAGACAGAATTAGTTGAGGTGTCAAGGTTCGGCTCAGTCCACGGACCTTTCGGACAGTAAGTTCACATCCTAAACGCTCAGTTATCTCGAGATTAATAGTAGCTTATTAATCTGAGGTAGTACAGAGGTGTCGACCGTTGGCCAAAATAGCAACCAATGATCGTCTCAGGCCGCTGGCTATTGTCGTGCAAATCTTGTTCCTTTGATACTAAGGGTTGGTAGTCCAGAAAAAAGAAAATTCAATTAACAAATCAGGGTGAGTTCAAACTTACAGAAAATCGCCTGAGCAGTTTCCACGTGAGTAGTAGGAGACCCAAATAGACGAACGCCACCAAGTAGGCAGTCATGAACACGAAAAACCTGTCGTACATGACGAAATGCCGAAACGGAAGGGGGCAAGAAAAGCAAAATGAAGCCGATTAAGAAGTGTTTACCTTTAAGAAGGGAACGAGATAACGTTAAATGATGTCAAGGCTACAGATGTGCAGTGATATTCCCTCTTGACGGTTAACAGGGGCTGTTGGTGAAAAAATGCCGGTAATGATTGAGATATATAGGGTTCTTCTATTATTGTTGTTTATACGACTGAGGCTCTAGGCAACCCGTTCAATACATCGCAGTATGAACGAACGAAACATATGACCTCCTCCTGCCCCGACGAACTTATTCTGGTTAGGCCACACGAAAGAAGGGAGATGAATCAAAATATGTGAGTCAGTACGATCAAAACATGATATAGAGATTATCGTTCTGTTTCTCCACGTCGAATTACCACCGGCGAATGCCTGACCACCGACCACACGCTTGGGCAACCGTGAGATAGGCCGTTCACCCTTTCATGAGGCGAGGAGGGGCGGTTGTCACAAGTCACACGTACTCGTGAGTTAGCGGCAACATTCATAGACGTATTCGGTACTCAGGGACGTCGTCATCTGAAAGTGACTTTGTCACAAACTAGCCCTCGATATTGCTGCTCGCGCCAACCACGATCCAAAATCAATCTGAACCGGAAATAGTTCGATGAAGGTAAAGAGGCTCGGAGCCGTTCTTGTCTTGTGAAACAATTGTGATTTAAGGAAAGGGCCCCCTCTACTGACATATCGGTCGAGATATTTCCCGCTGAAAACCTTAAACAGCTCGGACTGCAATGAAGACTGTCAAACTTGTGTGATTTTTCGATCAGTGTTTTTTATTAGACAAAATAACCAATTTTATGAAAACATACGCACTGCACACCCAGAATGAGAAAAATATGTATTTGGATTAGCAAGTCTGCGGTATAGGTATGGTTCGTTGAAAATCCGACAGTGTTGAAACAGAAACAAAAACAACCAAGGCACTCCACTTGCCGTGGGATTTTTTGGGATGCTACCCGCGTGTTTTGTGTTGACGGGCAAGTAGGAGCAGGTGACTGGTATCGCAGCAGTTTATGGAGATTCACAGAAAGTCAATTGATTACGTATGACGAAAATGGATGAGTGGTTTCTTAAATTGTGGGCAGAACGGTTGATTTTAGAAATATGAATAAAGCATAGTGAGTGTGATGTAAACGAGAATAAAATGACGTACGGTAAAGCATACACAACAGACTAAAATTACAGAAAGCAAAAAGACAAAAACGCATGATCGAAATACATCCCAAAAGATCGGTTGAAAATCAAACGTTCAGGCAAAGGGAAGGTTGCTGCAGTGAACGGATGGGAAATAGGGATTGGGTGGTGCCACCTCAGGCTTGATCATCACCACAAGGCCATCTAACACTTCCGCATGAGCTAATATGTTTAAATAGGTCAATTCCTGCAGCAAAAAACGCTAGACTACACGCACAGTGAGAGAAAAAAACTGTGTAGGTCCCTCATAAGAACTAGCTGGCAAAAGAACGACAGATGAAAACATAGAAATCATTCACAATCGTCCCAAAAGGCTCTTTAGAAGCAAGGTTTTACTAGATCAATCTTCATAATGATCGTGCAGGCCACCATAAATATGCAAATGGGGAACGAGCCTCTAAAAGTACCGCTATGGCTGAAATATTCAGCTGGCACACGTCGAGGAATGCTATTTTGGATATCTGCGCCGGCTGACGTTTAATTCATTACTGTTTACAGTCAATTAGAGTTGATTCGTTCAGCATGGGTACAACATGGGGAAATGTGGTCACCAACATTTAGGCCGTAAAACAACCCTGAGTAAAGACGTGAATTCATACAAGTCCGCACCATGATTCCATTAAGGGAATTAAGGGAGATGTCCTTTTCAAATCAAATTCAAAACGGTTCAAAAGCCCCAACACCTTGCCCAGAATCGGGTTGTTGTACCCGACTCCCAACAGATAGGACTGGTGCTGAACCGCTCTACGTGGTCCGAACGGAAAGTGGATCACAATGAACTCGTAACTAGTACTTCGGGATAGTTGTGGAGCCGTTTCATCCGTCTCGAGACGCTCGCCATGGAGTAAAGTAAAAATAATGGGGAAATTAATAGATAAACACTATGATCTACCTCTTTACCAAGTTAGCATCGTGACAGGAAACGCTTTGACCAAAGATTTGCCCGCCAAATACAGACGTGTCGAGTGATCCGACAGGAGATATTTGACTGGCATAAAATCTGTAATTCAGCAGCTCTCCGCGACGGGCTATTTTCTTATGATGCAATTCTCGTTCACTGCGAGAACTCTTTTAAAGGGTTCAGAGGGCATAGCGCCTAGACATGCGTGAATATATATATAGGTAAAGTTTTAGAATTCACATGCAGTGCTCTATTTTTCGAAACTTATCTGTTATTGGAGCGGCACAGTTGCCAAGAGTTCGTTCTCCCTAGAATGCATGAGATTGTGTTCGGGGTCATTAGAAGCAACGGATTCATATATTGCACAAGTGATTGGCAGTGGATGCGGTGGGAGTATTCTAAAAATTGGCCCCGAATCAAATTATTTTCAGGATCTAAAGGGAAGCCTAGGTACCGTCGCTGATCCCTCTAAAACTCAATTGCCATGGGCAATCGAACAGTGACATAGCGGAATGGTCAACTCCACTCAGAACTCATTAAGAGAGTGAACATCCAAATGGGATAGGACCGATTGGAGTGGTGCTGTACACCCTCGTGAAGATTAAACGAGGTAGTTAAGAGAAGCAGTAATCAAGATGACACCGGAGTTAAGCTGCGAGGTCCTAAAAAAAAGACTCATGATTAATGTGCACCGTTGGCATATCGACTCGCCTTTGGTAGTCTAACAGTCTATCAGCCCTCGTGCTCCCTAAAGTTAACATGACAACTATGCACCAGAAAAGCACGACCGATGAACAACTATCTGTTTTCAGCCGGTTGTCGTGTTTCCTCTTTGCAGAGACAGCATTGACAACAACAAAAACATACATGGGAAATCATCCTGTGAAAAATCCTAGGAAAGTGGACGTTTATTTTGATCGATCGGGTCTCAAACGGGGACACTAGGTCAGAACTAGGTGAATGTGTACACATATAGGTTAGACAGAAACCAATAAAAGGTACAGCGCAGTCAGTGATTTACTTGTTTACGTCCGCTCGTGGTGAGTTAAAGGTCAGGAAGCGCAACTGTCAAAGACACACCGTTCCAAAACAACAACAAAATGTCTGAACTGACCCTGAAATCGTAAGAAGATTGATTACGGCCACCAGTAATCCATAGGGTAGAAGAATGCCGGTAGCCATGGTCAAGACATGGATCAAGTTGCCAGGCCACTGCGAAGCTTCGGCCTGAGTGGAGGCACTATCGTCCTCTTTTGTTCCAACCGTGGATTCATGCGAGCTGCAGCAACAGGAACTTCGCCATCCACGCTTCTTCGACTCCATCTCGGAGAAGTGTGTATAAAGTATGGCATCTTTGCAATGGCCAGTACAGGTGACCCCACAACACGGTGTCAACTTGGTTGTCATGGTGAGCCAGTGTGGGGCCCGGACACCGGAGGGAGATGTGCACAACCAGGGCAATTGTTGAACTAACGGTTTCCAAGACGTTTCTGCTTCGGGCAAACTTGTCGCGATTTCGCTAGCAACTTGGCCGTTATTCGCTGCCAATGTGGTCGTCGTGGCCTGACTGACACCCATAGAGTTTTCCGGACCTAGTTCACAAGCGCCATCTGTCGAATCTGGTCCATCAACTGAGCTTTAACAGACAGAGCAGAAGAAGGGTAAGGAAGAAGAAGACCAGATTAGGATGAATGAACATATAAAAAAATTGATCTTGAAAGCTGTTCGTACAAAGCTTGTTCGTACATAGACTGTGAGCCACGTCGAACGATGGATTCTACGCCACATCTTCGTTCACCAACAATGGGGTGATGTAATGAAACACGGAAATATCGACAGCAACATAATGGATGCAAGAACCCCATTAGATAAATCACGGGGTTATGAATGGTGGTAGCACTAACTGTTGTGATATCCCTATCTGTTGGTTAGATGCAAAAATATGGCGGCAAGACGGAATTTTCGGGTAGTGGCCTTGGTGCTTCTACATCAACTCGTAACCGAAATTTTCCAGAGCTTTTTCAGTTCAATGAAAGTTAGAGAAAAAAGAGTCCTGGGGGGATTCCGGTCTACTGACGTGTAAAGAACATCATGAGCGGACTAGCACCCATCGCGTGTGAATCACTCCATTCGAGGAAAATTGGACATGTTTACATAGGTTTACCACCTAAACCAAGTAGTTTTTCGGAGATCGATGGTCGGATATTTTTAGTAATGTTCCGAACCGATAACTATTCAAACCTACTGCATCTGATATTCGGTAAGCCTGACGTGATAAGAGCAGCTGCAATGCTGAGATCAATGTAAACTGAGATAGATATGGTTCGTAATCAAGTCACTCAGTCGTGAAAGTGGACCCGCTTTATTCGCATTCAGGCTACGGTACCAGCAAAACACATGGTCGATGACCGAACTTGGAGCAGTCCTCAAAACCCAAATCTGTTGCCCACCCGTGAAGGACAAATAACAGTTGACCAATGTAAAGAAATGTCACTGCGTTGCTCGCAACCTCGAGACAAAGATGCTCTTAGCAATCAGTGCTTCCCTTCGGAAAAGAGCTTTCGAAGAATACGATGGAGCAGCGTCGATGTTCAACAATGGTGCTGCTCTCAGGATCGTAAAACCGACACCTACAATCTTTGGTCATCAATGGCCGGATGCTCACAAAACACCACATATTTTGATCAAGAAATGCGAGTTTGCCATCAGATGATTCGTGCAGCCAATCAGATGAGCTAACCTGGTTCTAGGTAAACAGAGTACATGGTGGTTGAAACGAATGTCAAACAGACGACCTACCACTTCCCCCGAAGACGTCCAGCCCGACTTTGACACGGCACCAGTTTGTCGGAACAGTCAAGGGTGTCGGCCCCACGTTCGAATGATTGCGCCAAGGTGACAGCAGCCATGGCAAGTAATTCTGAAGTCGACGGATCTCGGGCAGATGCTGCATCTTCACTTGGCCGCGTGGCACGAGTCACCGGTCTCGACGACGTCGTCTCATCAAACTCACTGTTCGACAAAGCACGAAGGAGACCGAGCTGAGCTTCCTTGGATTCTTCGGCTTCTTCTCTAGCAGTCATTGCAGAACCGGTGGCAGAGAAAAAGGAATCAAAAGGAATCTCCACAGAACCGGTTGAGTGAACCGGGGAACTTTCACTTGTCGGACGACGACATACAATGCTTGCAGCGGTTGTCAAACGATTCAGTAGACCTAAGTTTTCCAAGGATATTTCGCCAAGCTTCGGCCATTCCGGGTTTGTGACCTTGGTGACTGGCGTTGTACTGTCTGTGTCGTTTGTCTGTAGTGCAAAATAAACAGTGTAGTACATATCTATATATACATCAAAGCAAAACCCTGCACAAGATCCCCTTAAAACTAAAAAAGAACTAAGAAGTGAGAGAGGTGATGGAAAATCGCAGAGAACGAAAAGCTGCACCTAATATTAGCTTTATAACAGAAGAACCCTGTGATCGTCTAGCTGTACCAGCCAACCCTTGGAGAAACTAACAACTAATTGGCCTGCCTCAACGTGTTCTTCTAAATAGCAGTCAATCCAGTCCTAGTGCCGCGGTCATCGAAGAGTAAAACTCTAAACAGAGCACGGAATTTACTGTTCCCATCGGGTTTAAACAGATGGTGGAAACCTCCAGAAGAACACGAATCCAGGAAGAATTAAGAGGAGGAAGAATACGCCATGAAAAAGGAGCATCTCAAACATTTTCCGTGCAACCGGTGACAAAGCCCTATTTGCACTGCGCTTGTTCTAATTGGAGGCCAGATCAACGATTGGTCCATTCACTCAAAAAGAGAGAAACCTGTGGGTAGACCGATTAAACTAATGATCAGTGGGGCCAACAAACAGAGATGTACGACCGTAACTGACGTTCCGACAAACCAAGCATCCTGAGTTTGGTCAACGCTAAGTAGTGCTGAGAATGTGGATAAACCGTGTGAGTCATGCGAAGCTGCGCAACGACAGACTGAAAATTCGAGGAAACAAACAGTGGGCGTTTCTATAGAGAGGCGGGACGTTCATAGTTGCGGCATGAAAACTTGGATTTTGGAAAGAGCTTAGAGTAGCAGTACTATAGGAATTCTTACCTTGAAAAGTATGGTGTGCGGATATAGGCCTACCAAAAACCATGAGCGAATACAGGAACTCTCAACTGTTTGAGCCCAATAAATAAACTGAAATAACTAAACATGGGATGACTAGCTCGATTGATGTTAGGCGGAACGCCACTGTCCTACGCGTTATAGTACCCAAAGCATGGTGTGTACTGTAAATCTGAATTACACAGCGCAACTTATGCTGCGTCGGTTGAATATTGTACTACCAAGTAATGATATGTACAACATCGGTCACGTTTGGCATTGACATTCGAGACAGGCAACTACTCTTGGTTAATGGATATTTGAGAGACGGTCTCTCCCACACCTGTTTCTGATTTTCTCAAGGGTTTTGCTTTAACACAAGCAGCGATGTGGCTTCCAACTTAGATTCGGTAGAGACCGATTTTAGAAGGACATTGTCCGATCACTTCAGAGAACGATGCCTGTGACGAGACCGATTGCGTAGTTGAGGGCTTAAACAAAGGGGAATACTTTAGTCTTCGGAAGAAATTAAGGATAAAAACAATATGAAACTGGTACTCGACAGGGAGGTGTGACGTGGCGAGTGACTGTATTGGTTTGCTTTCAGGCACTCACCAACATAAGGCTTACGGTAACGCTTCTACAAATAATAAACTCAAAACCTTTGAAATACACCGTGAGTAACCCTTAATTATAGAATAATTTTGGATAACAAAGCGTTGAAGTGTCTCCAAAAGTTACCTCCTGCCCCTTATCGGAGTGCGAAATGCATAGGTTCGTTAAGAAGAGATACACATCACTATGGAGGGGAGGGGGGAAATCATTTAGTAGGAGTACAGAGACCTTATCTTCCATCTGTATCTCTCGTTTGAGTACACTAACACCACGATTAGACTTGATCGTAACTCCCGAACACAGCTGGTCTTCGTGACATGCCTTATCAGGGGGTTGTCGCACAAGCCGAGATGGCACAGCTGCTACCCGGGCTCCATGTTCGCAATGATACGGCTACAATTTTTAAGAGTAGGAGACCAATGCAAAACTGTGGGGGCCGAGTTGAAAGTTTTCATCGAAAGCGACTACATGCTCAGCTGTCACATGAAAGGTTCACATGTTCTGTCGTATTCGAAATCCATGTTATTAATGGAATTATCTTGGACCAGAAAGGGAACAAAGGTTTCACCGTTGAGTATTGTGTGGACATTTTGAAGTCCTATCAAGAGAGGCGACTTCTCCTGAGTACAGTAAAGTGATTTTTATCAGCCCCAATGTAGTTCATGATTCCCTCAAATAAATACTGCCCTTGGAGAAGTGAAATAAATTATGTCCACGAAAAGGGGACATTATGAAGAAACAGACTTTCTGTCCTCTCCTCGAGGAGCGAAGGGGATTTCCGTTGATAATGGCTGGCGAGGAACACTAGAATGCACCATTTGAAGTAAACAGCATCTCATCTTGGCAGAGTTGATGGGCCCACTTCCCGAAAAGTACCGATTCTGATCAGACATTCATCATCATCATTGTCTGCTGTAATAACCGCGTACTCGTCGTACAGTGGTTGTAGCTGCCGCAGTTTCGTTCACCGATGATTTGTGGGGAGGGGTAGGTAGCTGCGCATTGCAGGCGCGAGCTGATAAATAGGTGCATAAATCCAGCACTGTCAGTTGGCTGTCAAGTGGGATGGGCGATTGGAAAAGGAGCTATGCATTGAAGGCAATAGCTTGGATCCACGAGCGCCATTGAGGGCACGACTGGGCTATGTCTGACAATGTCTCCAGCCATTGATATGGCCCGTCTCGGGGTCCCCATCCAGGACGACGACAGTGACCAGCGCAGCTGAGTTTGCTAGTAGTGGCTTTCATAGTTCGCTGCCAAGTCATTGTTTGACCGCCTCTGGCCCTCTTCAACCCTTCACGTGGTTGTGCGAAAACAGCCCTTCGAATACATGTCAGCGACACTGATTTTCCAATCACGAGGTGAGAGCTAGTGTGCTTTTTTTTACTGAGATGGTCGATGCCAGCTACGTTTTGTACTTCTACATTAAGCTGGTACACGTAAAAACGTGCTGCGTGTCATATGAAATCAAGCAATCATTCAGATAGCCGTAAAGGAATCAACCGCCTAGCCACTTCACTAGGGTTTCGGCGTATTTGTTTTTAAAAAGGTTTGTGTGCAGACAAGCGACTGCCGTTCGAATAATCATCCAAACAACCGTGTGATGTTAGGACAGGCTGAACGGGCTCAGTTGATAGAATGATCACGAATCCGAGCAGAGTGTTGTAGGGAATGGTGTCCAGATCCCAAAGTGGGTAGCGTTTGTCATGGGTTTACACCCAAGCGAATACACACACACACACACAAAACCCCGGTTGTTGATTCCGAAATGAATGGGATTTGATTTGACATTTCTCGAATGTAAACAAATGGAAAACGTCACGGTTTCGTCACCGGAGAACATTCGCGAAATCTGTCATTCACACGACGGTGTTACGATTCAAGTGTGACAATGGATAGATAGCCGAGGTGTAAGCATCTCGGATGCTTGTGGCAGGCTAGCCCCAGACCCCTCTTTCTGCCTCGTTCTTTTTTCTTCAAATAAACTGACATGATGGTATCGAAGCCTCTGTGTCCCCATCTGGGATTAGGATGACGAACTAGGACGACCGGATTCACAAGTGAAGTGTCTAAACATTAAAAAGAGTGCGATTGCGACAGCTAGCAATCGGACAAATCTCGGGTACTGTGTAGCAGGTCAGGAGATAAAGTGAACCAAGTTGGACATAGAAGAGCAAGGGTAAACAGATTAATGAGTAATGTATGGTCTCTGTATGCACAAGATCCACGCAAAAAACCAGTCTTTTGGTTAATGCGCTGTGTCGTTGTTACACCCGGATTGTAGTTCACATGGACACGTAGCAGCGAAATGGGAAAGATAAACGTGATAATTTTGGTAACGGGGTTGTGCTTTGGGAGCACTGCTGCCAAACTAGTGTTGTTATGTAACAAGCATAAAGAGCAGTTCTTCGGTTTTTAAAAGGGGTGAAGTTTTAGGAGAGTTGAAGACATCAAATGGGACAATTGTATGGTTCCATATAGTGCATAGCGTAAGCCAGTGAATTTTTTTAAAATAAAACATTCTCCCAAAGTTTCGTTTAAGCCACTTAGCCATCGGTACGCACAAGAAGAGTTAGGGGTTGAATCAATACACAAGTCTCATTGGCTTATGCTTTTTCCGGTTTCCAAGAGAGTGTGGAAAGTATGTTCGAATTTCTTAGTGAATTCATCGCATAAGCTAAAAGGATAAATCATTTATTTGTAATGTACTACTCATAAGATTGCTGAAAATGCGTCGACAACAACCTTATAAGTAGTACATTACAGAGATATACATGTGTCGCGGTATCTCGAATATCGTAGCGACTGAAACATGAGGCGGCCTGGTGCAGCACATTCAGTTGCCTGAGAACATCACAAACGAGATATTCAGCTGGGTTGCGAGTGAGATTCTCGAAAAACCAAATTAGTTTGCAAATGAGTGTGTATTCGAGAAATCATTTCAACTCAAATTCGTGGTAATGGCCGCGTGGCGTTGAAGTAAATGGAAAAAAATCGTTGAAAAACTCCTTAACTGTTCTTGGGGTATGATGTCTCGATTCAACTTTTTTTCCACACAGTGCAGAGTACTTGATGCTTGAGTTTCTATCAATTCCAGTTTTGAGTACTGGAAATTTCATGTCGATCAGTTCCGGGTTCTGCACGTCGCGCGAAGCAGCTTCATCACTGTTCCTCGGGGCTCCTGAGGGGAATCGAGAACAATTAAATCGTTCGGCTACAACCGAACCCTCTCGGCGCCTAACTTCTGACCACTAGAAGTGAGCACGAGGGCTGAGCTAGTGCAGACACGAGCAGTAGAGACGCTGAAGTGGGTTTCGAACAATAGACATTCGCGGCAATAATTTCGCACCCCAACCATTGAGCCATCTCGTTCTCGAGTCACAGGGAACACAATGGATAATCAACTGGTTTTGTCCGCATCTATTTCGAGAATATTCACTCACTCACCGGCTTCACAAGCAGTCACGTCTCACTATTGTCGTAGTCGACATCAGGTTCGATGAATGCATTAGTCTAATCCAAAATCATTAGCACTCGGACTAGCTACCTGGAAACGCAAATACGCCTCATGGGTCAGAAGGTCGAGGCGTGCACCGACGTATTATGAGCAATTGAAGAAGAAAGAATGCTCTGGACAACCTCAATGACGAGTGGATGCGCCTGAGTGAAGGAAATCCGAACGTGGCGATCGGTCAAGTTTCCGTCAGAAACATTTTTCTAGCGCATATCAGGTTGAAAAAAAACTGAATATCCTTTTTCTCATCGTCTGTGGACTATGGGAAAGAACTGTTCTTCTTTGCAGAGCGTGTTGTACTGGGGTCGACGAAAGTTCCCAATAAGAGGTATAACGTCACGACAGATAACTTTCCTGGCAAACTAGCTCGACTAGCAGCTCGGACTCTTCGACAGACCGAAACTATAACGATGGGAACGATAGGCAAAGACAAAGAGAAAAATTCCCGAAAAAAAACGAATAGCAAAAGCTCAAAGGCTGCAAGGGCAGCTTCTTGCGAAATGCCACACCACAAAACCAAGAAGTTAGTGTGCAACCAAATACTGGGTGGACATTCGATGGCTCGACGAAATATCTAACTTGGTGGTTAGAAATTGCTGCTTTGGCATCCCAGGACCAGACAATGACGACTAGTGGTTCGGTCAAGTTGGTCGAAAAATCCAAAAATGAGCTCTGCAAAACTGCGCTGGCTTCTTCATCGTGCCTGGGGTGGCAACATCGTCTTGAGGAGCGACTGAGAACCTGGACCGGCACCGTCAAGTTGGATTTGAAGGGGTTCGATTTCAACCTACCACAAGATAACCGTTGCTGGAGTGGAAGAGGGATCCAAATGTGTGAGCACCTAGCCTGTTTGGGCACCTTGCTGAGTTCCGGAACTATTCGACCTGGTCAATTTGACCAAACAGAAATAGGTGATATAATATTCCATCGCGACGACTGCTTTTCAGGACTGACCATATTTTGTTCCAACAATTCTGTAGTACAGCTTAGGCAACTTCCTAGCCGAAAGTCTGCAGCGATCCTGTAGTGCCAGTGAGTAAATTATAAATTACGCATCAAGAGGCTTATGGAAAAGACCCCAGGGAAAAAGTCTCTGGAATTCGCAACCAGGGATGGATTGAGCGGCAGTCTCAGCAACTGATAGATAATCATTCGAGTATGCTAGGCCATGGAGATCAGCTGAGTAAGTGGAATGAAGGTAGGGTTGCATATGAGATAACCTAACACAGGGAGCCAGTCGATTCATCTCTCACCATCACTCCTAAACTTGTCAGTATTAGGGGAACGGTAGCCGAATCTACTAATATTCGGAGCCGCAAGTACGGTCGACTTGATTAGTTTCAAGCGAGACAGGGGGATATTCCGATAACCTAAGTGTCAGTTGTACTTCGAGGTTCTTTACATATCCGACAAAACACTGGCCGTATCGCCAAAGATCGATGGGAAGTAACTAATCACCGTCTGAAAAGGGTGATAAGCGAAACGACAAAAAAATTGTCTAGATCCAATATGTGGCCAATTTGCGGCATGTCCCTCTGGCTTGTCTGTATATATCGTGCTAACATGAAGATTATGAATCGTCGTCTAAGGAGGAAAATTTCGATCTGAAAAGATGGCAGTAAAGACAACGTCACTCGACAATGGGCAGGGCAGCGGATCGAATCGAATAGAAAAACTGCGAGATTCTGCTGAAACATGTTCAAACAGCCAGCCAGCCTGCACGAAAACAAACAGGTAGCCTTTTTGGTTATGACCGACACTTTGTAGTATGGGAATAATTGGCCATGTTTTCAGACCAATTCACACAAAGCGACTGCTGGGTGAGCTTCCATGAGGTGGCGGCAAACCGCAATGTCCAGCACCTGATCCATATTATTCTAGACACACATGTGTATTCACGCATTGGGGGTTGAAACGTATGCATGAGTCATGAAAACAAACCTGTCGCCTTTTTGTTACCAACGCATAGCGGCCTAGCAGCCCGATGGTGAGATATCTTGCAAACTGTGAAAAAAACAACAATTTCAAACACAGTGTCGGTTGAGGCAAATGAGTGGGCGATGTAGGGGAAAACAGTCTAGACGCGGCGCTGTTTTTTCATGAAGGCAAACAAACTAGAGGGAATAAATTGGCGAACACAGCAACACAACGCTCACCAGTCGCAGGAGTTTGCAGGACTTGTAGTGAATTCAGTGAAAAGTAGTCTGTTGTGCCAAGGCTCACAATGCCAATGAGTGGGCGATGGAGGGAAAAACAGTCTAGACGCGGCGCTGTTTTTTGATGAAGGCAAACAAACTAGAGGGAATAAATTGGCGAACACAGCAACACAACGCTCACCAGTCGCAGGAGTTTGCAGGACTTGTAGTGAATTCAGTGAAAAGTAGTCTGTTGTGCCAAGGCTCACAATCATTTGCATAGTAACGGACTGTCTTGTTCTACAGTAGAGGCTGTTGCACATCTGCTTCGCTCTTCCAATACAAAACCTAATGCTGTACGCCTGACGTTCACTGACTACATTATTGTTTGAGGGAATGGTTTTCTCAACTTGTTACGGACGCAGACGATGAACAGAATCTGTTCAAATTAATCAAATACTGCCGTGAAGGAAACTACTCACAAGGTTGCTGAAAACCTTTCGACAGCCTAGGACCGGTTTCGCCCTCCTTGGGACTTATCGGTTAGGCGAAGTCCCCGAGTTTCCATCAACCTTATGTTCTACTTGAATCCAAACTGTACCGTTTTTCGAGAAATATACTCATTTGCAAATCAATTTGGTTTTCACCAAACAAGCACTATAGGATGGTCTAGATTCGAGCAAATCTAGAGAACACAACTCAGTAGTGGCATTATCCGTTTTGCTTCGTGGGGACGGGGGCTTTGTCAAGAGGAAAAATAACATGTACGGCAGCGAAATACTGTCACTTGCATGCCAATTTGGTTTTAACGGGAGACACAAATGAATCCCATTTGGAGAACATCACAAAGGAGAGAGTAACCTGGGATTTAGTTTGGCATCCCGTGAAAACCGAATTGGTAGGCAACAGAGTGTAGTTTGCTGATTTCGTGCGATTTGGGTTCAAGTAGAACAAAGGTTGACGGAAACTCGGGGACTGCGCCTAACTGATCAGCCCCAAGAAGGGCGAAACCGGTCGTGGGCTGTCGAAGGGTTTTCAGGGTTTCCTTCATAAAAATATACTCCGATATCTCGAATATGGTACCAACTGAAATATGAGACGGCCTGTGTGCAGCACATTCAGTTGTAGAACATTATAAACGAGAGATTCAGTTGAGCCTCTCGTGAAAACCAAATTGATTTGCAAATGAGTGTATTTCTCGATAATTAAATACTGCTTTACGAGTAGCTTTACACTTCGCGAGCGTGGCTAACCGCTTTTCAACCAATGCCGAATAACAGCGATGTATCTAAGGTGCTATTTTTCCCTCATACTTTCTGCACATATGGGACATCTCTGATCTTCTCACCCGGCGCAAACACGCTGATCGTATAGTGATGGGGTGCATATACGGTGGACCCGGGACACATCTGCAGTTATAAAGTGCACTGACTGAAGTTTCTAGTTGGTCAGGTGAACTCCCCGTGACCCCAGATGTGGAGACGTTGCCTCATTGTCGGTGAACCATCAACCTACACTGTCTTACTAAGTTAGTTATCCATACGTCCAAGCTGTCTATCATCGAGTTCAACATCCAACATCTTGTGCTAGAGGAACTGTAGAGGTCTTCAGTTTTCCCGCATTCAAGGACATGTATCCTTTCCCACTAGGTTCATTGTTCCCCTAAATCTATTCCTCGTTAAAAAAAGATCAGTGCCTCACCATCAGGTTATCAAGACACATCTCAAGGTGTAGTTAGGAATCACTTTGATGTACTCGTTTTTCACCCAAGCCACGTCTACTTAACGCACACATTCCCGACATAAACCAGTACCTGCCAGTACTTCCAGTCGCCTCAGATTTATGACCCATAATTAGGTAACCCCACTGAACGTCTCGCCTAATTGTCTCATGTATTCGTTAATGGATATCTCAGATGTTGGTAAACAAATATCGTACAGCTGTAGCACCCTTGTGATGCCTAGCTGCCATGCCACCAGAAGAACTAGGGCTGGGATACTGCCAGGTTGCCCAAGCCTAGACAGGGGAAGTCGAGAGGAAGAGGTCGGGTTCGAACCACGGACCTTCCGGTCAGTACTACCACCGCTCTAACCACTTGGTCCATCTCGCCCTATCATTTGCGTGAGAACTGTTGTAAACCTGAATGTTGAAAATTCACTCAAGATCACGCAAACCCTTACTTAGTCCTATTTCATTTCACTCGAGAACAGGTGAACCGGGAAAATGTGTCAGGTCTGCTAAGATAGCCGGCAAGAAAAATGGATAAGAATAGGAAACTAGACGCCGACCGTATCAGATTTGATGCAACAAAGATTCTCAGAAGTGACTGAATGTTAGTTCCTGAAGAATGAAGACTAATGACTGAAAGTGGGATGTCAAATACTTGACAAGCAGAGTCCACACCGAACTAATGTCGCGCAGAAACAATCTCTTTTCGCGTAGGCAACAAGAAATGTGTGCAACCGACGTACGTTTCTAGTTGGCAGCTCGTCCCCTCTAAACCAGCACAAAAGCTTTTTTACTGTGAGGGAATTAGCACTGTATTACGAAAGCCACTTCGCAACCTGGAGAGCTCAAAATCTCCCCTGAGGATGGATGAACAATGTTATACTTCACTATCGAAAGGTGCATTCTTCCTGAATAGTTTCAATCAGTTTAGTACTTCCTTTCCCACCAAAAAAGCCTTAAACTGGTGTGTTTAGACCATTTTTACATTCTTCCGGAAATAGCTTATGAAATCGTGACTGTAGGTTAGCCTAATGAATGTAAGAGGAGTTCAGTTTGATGAGATAAAATGGATTCGGTCTTAAAACCGCAAAGCGAACTCCAGAGTCAGAAAGCATGATGAGGGCACCGGGGGACGAGATACAAATCTGTCGACTGTGTAGTGAAAGCACCCTGGCTACTCATGTCTATAAGAATGCACCACAAGTAGGTGTATATGCAGAAGAGCACGCAAGTGACTTTGTTCGTTTGGGTATTTTCTGACTAGAAGCTCACAAACTACCGCAATGAGTCAAGGTGCTTGCTACGCAAAATTCGGTTGCTTGATAAAGGAAGTGCGACGAAAAAGGACTCTAGTCGGGTAGGGATCTGACTCAAGTGTAAGCAAGTTGTATGGAAAATCAACCAAAATTTTGGAAGACACAAAGTGGATTGTAAGCACACCCAACAATCGGAGTGTTTAGCCTGAACCAATCAGTCAGCAGTTAGCCTTCATACGGCACCACTGAGGGTGGAGTTTAATCATTTGTCAAGTTAGATGATGGTGACAACATACTGGATGAATCAGAGAAGGCCGCGATTGCCTGTCCGAGTTTCTAGGCTACTGTACAGGGTTTGTGCGGGAGTGACCAGTCAGCTACCAACCGTTGTCTGAGACACGATTGTGTCCCGAAGGTGCAAGTTGTTTTGTTTCCAGTCGTTGGTAGTTTCGCTGTCACATAGTGTTGCTTGACTAGGACTGGTCTTAATCTGACAAAAACGGGACAAACCTTGTGAGTGCTGAGTCGCGACAGCCACCATTTAGACTGACGAACAACTAACCAGGTGTTACCTGACAGTATTCAAAGTTATGGACAAGGGGGGTTTGAGTTAAAAGATGGAAAGCAAAAAAAGACGGTCAGATGGATGAAAAGAAGGAAATTTCAACGGTGGTAGGTGGTGAATCAGCAGTGACAACCATAAGGGTTCAAGCTGCTTAAAGAAACGACCGGTCCAGGTCTTCGACTTGATTCTCAAGAGAACATACAGAACAGGAATAATAATCACGTCAAGGGTACCGGGAGTATTAGGTGATTCAAAAGTGCATTGTACAGGGAATAGGATGTCCAGCTCAAATAGGACGGCGTCGTGAACTACCACATTCGCAACCATGCTAAAATATCTTGCGGGGCAGTGGTCACTTCAGTCATGTGATGGTTCACTAGCCACTTAGCTACAGAATTACGAAGTGCGGTGAATGAAGCAAAGAGTCAGCACTGTGAGGGGTGTGCATCAAGCTAAAACTCCAGGATCCTGGTATAGTACTCGGTGGCAAAAGTAAACAGGTAGACTCGCAGTAGCCGTCCTTCCGGTCCATAAAAACACACACCAGTAAGCCCCCTAAGGAGTTGAAGGATCTACCACTCGCTGTTTGAGGCTTATCGAGGCGTAAAAAATCGCTCGGCTGTAACGCCCTTCCGGTGCCTAGCTGCCATGCTACCCGAAGGAAGCACGAGGGCTGGGATACTGTCAGGTTGCTCAAGCCTGGACAGGGAAGTCGAGAGGCAGAGGTCGGGTTCAAACCACGGACCTTCCGGTTAGTAAATTCGCGCTCTAACCACTTGAGCCAACTCGCCCCGAGGCATACTCTTCACTGGGAAGCTCATGTAGACACACGGGCTCATCAAAGACACGTCATCAAGCACAGCAGCATAATCTGCTGACCTGATTATTGTCTTACTATGCAAGCATGCGCCTCGGTTTGCTAACTAATTTTCGTTTACAAAACAGCACTATTCGGCGAGATAGCAGCTAATCCACACAACAGTAAACAAGGCATCGAATCGAGACAAATTCAGGGTTTCATAGATAAATCCTATCATCGGGAGTCCCCATGGAAATGCAAAGCCAACTAGCGAGGAAGATCACTGAGTCCGATGCGAAGTTGGGCGGTCGAGTTCGTCCTCCGTTTGATATGCAGTGGTGAGAGATCGATTGTACAGATAGTCATGACACAATCATCTAGAGTCTAAAAGCCAATCTCCACAAGTCAGTTCCACAGCCGAATGCCCCATGCACTTCTACCGTTCTCCTTAAACTACTTCGACCATTTTCCTCCAGGAATGCTTGCAGAGAGCGTGTTACGTGAAACTTGAAACAAAATGTTCAGCGAAATCGCGGTCCAATCTGACAGTGGTATCAGCTCAACAAAACAGGGGCTACCCGGGGAGCTGAATAGTCAGACGGAACTTTGAATGACAGCATATCGTTACCTAGCAACTTGAATGTTTTCAGACAAGACAAACCAATGAAAAAGGATGCTTCACCAAAAAATCGGCCTACGAGACCGAAGCAACCCTCGTTGATTCACGGCTGGTCCACTAGTCAAACGGATGCCTCTACAAACAACATAATCATCCCGTCCATCCATAATCACCACACGCTGAATCAGATCGACCACACCAATCCAGAAATTCCAGCCAGTCAACCAGCCACCCGACCAATCAACCAAATCAACCTGCTTATGGTATGAACGACTGCGTCGGGTGACTCATGCAAAATACGCCCAGATGCATGTACACAGTGATGAATGGAAATTACCTCAACAGATGCGCTTCACCCAGCAAAAATAGCAACAACAGCAGACAAAGAAGGAGGGGATGACGAAAGGCAGTAGCAGGTGGCGATTAGATTAGGTTAATAAAGGGCGATAGCGTGCACGCGCATGTGCGTGGTTGAGAAAAAAAAACGAAATCCGTACGTGCTGAAAACTGGTTCACGCATGCAGGTGTACGCAAGATGACCTTGATTACACCACAGGGTGCTCGTAAGGCGGAATGGAGAGATCCCACGGGGATCGATGCAAAATTAATCCACTTCACCTGACATGTAATTATTTTCAGGTAAACGCAGTACACTTGTGTTCCCTCTCAGTGAAGCTTTGTATGGCTAGGACCGCTGATGACGAAATCTAGAGAAACAGCGGCATTTGACAGCAATCGTTCAGAGCGAAGTGGACGTCACTGGATAAGTGCAATCTAGAATAGAGGCCGTTTTACAGATGAGTAGACCTCTGTGGTGGACAGGTTGCCTCTATCCAGCAATACTGCTTCTAAGGAAGGGTTAGTGATCCAACCCAGTATCGGACCGCACCGCTGATGACGAAATCTAGAGAAACAGCGGCATTTGACAGCAATCGTTCAGAGCGAAGTGGACGTCACTGGATAAGTGTAGAATAGAGGCCGTTTTACAGATGAGTAAACCTCTGTGGTGGACAGGTTGCCTCCATCGAGCAATACCGCTTCTAAAGAAGGGTTAGTGATCCAACCCAGTATCATTCAGCGGTGAAAGGTTAGAAACTGAGGAATAGAATGACAACCAAGGCTACCAACTTATCTATGATGGTGTCGTCCCTTACGAAGTGCTTATTGCGGGAGAGAGAGAGTATTCGCTGTGGGTTGAGCGACAAAAGATTACTGGGAATGTTGCATCCAGAAAGGGTGTTACGGCTGAAGAACCTGAGCTGTTGAATAAAGAAGGATGAAAGGGATCAAAATCCCTTCAGTAAAGTGACGCACCATGAACAGCGTTATTTATACAGTTCTATGTGATTGGGAGACTGACATCGATGGATTCGCCGACAGGGAGAAAACCGCTTTCATAGCTTGAAGGGGTAGTAGAAGAGATGTCGGACTGTTGGCTGAATGGATTAGAGAAACGAAATGCTGACCAACGACACCATTTCGGTACCGTGCAACACGAAACCCGAGTTTATGAAGCCTAGACAGAATTAATTTGAAAGCCCAAAGTAGGTTCAAACCAAGCTATTGTCGCCACGAGTTACCTAGGGTTCGATGGGCGAAGTAACTCGAATATCGGTCGCGCGGAAATGCCACCGGTTCAGTGACAAGTTAGCGGAGTAAAGTTTTAATAAGTCGGGTGGAGGGTGAGATAGGCGTTGAAGAAAACCAGTGGTTCAGCCTGTGAAATCTATCCAGAAGCTGTATTACTTGCCCCAAGGCTAGAGAAAGCTTGATTCTTCTAAATGTCTTGAGAGTAGAAACTGAAAACGAGCTAATAAGGGTAGTTTTGACCTGTTTATAAAACTGAATAGTTACGAGTGGGTGAGGTGTTGATGGAACACAAAGATAAACTTCATTGCGAACAGTTGCTGGGCTAGTTTGTGGCCACGCACGCATACAGCACACGAGGATGCACTGGAGGGCGTGAGACCCCGGAAGCTGTATTACTTGCCCCAAGGCTAGAGAAAGCTTGATTCTTCTAAATGTCTTGAGAGTAGAAACTGAAAACGAGCTAATAAGGGTAGTTTTGACCTGTTTATAAAACTGAATAGTTACGAGTGGGTGAGGTGTTGATGGAACACAAAGATAAACTTCATTGCGAACAGTTGCTGGGCTAGTATGTGGCCACGCACGTATACAGCACAAGAGGATGCACTGGAGAGCGGTGAGACCCCGATTAAACAGTGATTGCACGTGTCACTAGTTATGGACTGAGTGTTAGTTCGACCCGACAGAAACGACTTATGGTCTTACAGACAACGGAAGACAACTGACAAGCAGTCAGGCCAAGTTAACGTCTCTATACTTGTGTGCGTTATGCATCCAGACAAAAAGAAAACGATGAGACCAGTATCACAGAATGAGTGGAAGGCGAGAAGAAAAAGTCGGACTGGAAGTAAAATTTAAAATGAAAAACAGAGATACAAAATGTAGAGAAAACTTGTTCATCCACCCATAAAACAAAACGGTTCTAGGTCAACCGCTGTTGTCGATTACCAACTTTTTGGTTAGTTTAGATGCGATCGGACAATTCAGTCTTAATGAGGCACTGGAATCAAGAAAGGCCCACACAAGCAACTTCTTCTCAAAGATAATTATGCAAAACGTGGCCGCTACGCGTTTTGGACAGCCGAAAAACGAAGGTATCGCGAAGAACAACATGGCCTATGATTGCTCGACTCGAGCAGCTGATTCACCAACGCCGATCCTGACCGTTTCGACAGGTTCTACATCGTTCGTACGCTGATATAATTAGAGAGGTCTTTGCTCCAGAGCTATGCCCAGATTGGCATTGTCATCGAGGTCAAAAGAGAAACCCGGATCAACACTGGCAAACCTGACGTTGAAAATTTGTCTATCGCCGAAGGAATCCACGGGTACCTGAACAGCTGCGATTCGAGACATTCAAGAGGTCAAACCACCCTCGTGCAGTAGAAAGCCAAATTACGTTCAGATGAGTAGTCGTAATAGTCGTTCCGCTGTAACACTCAGGGAGGGCCTAGCTGGAAGCCGCCGATGGAAGCACGGGGGGCTGACATACTGTCAGGTGCTCGAGCCTAGACAGGTGAAATCGAAGTGCTGGGGTTAGGTTCGGTAGTAGGTCGGTACTTTCGCGCCTTAACCACAGAACTATCTTGATCCCGGGTCAGGTGAGTAGATGACGAGTCTACGTGTTTCGCTCCAGGCTGGCATCAATAAGAGACCTTCCTGAAGCCGATTTATCCCATCTCGGGAGATGTCCGCTGAGATTTTCTATAAGTGGTGATGTCCTAGCGTAAGATAGAACGATAAATACAAAACAGAGCAATCTGACGCAGACAACAATGAAAGGAGACTGCTACAATAGAAGGTCGGTTTCAATATGAGGTCCAGGTTAATAACCTACCTTACAACCCGTTGGTTTGTTGGTCACTTGACGAGGTTGCACAAAGTAGGTCTCCATCGTCTTCACTGTTGCGGAAGAGGGCTCTGAGCTTGGATTGACGCTTACTAATGGGTGTGGGAGACCTATGATAGGTCCAGCTTCTCCCCGAAAACCTTCCGGAAGTTGGTTAAAAGTCGACCTTGAGGTCAGAACGCGACTGCAAAGGGGTAAAGATACGATGGTGTTGGGAAGGGACATAACGGCGCCACGAAAATATGAAGTGTATTCACCTTAGTTTCGGAGGTCCATGCCAACACTTCGGCATATCGGCGTTCACTTTCTCAACAAACGATCGGACTAACCTTTGAAGCTCGTCCGAATTCTCTACCTCCTATGCGTCATGTCCAGTGAGAAGCATTTACAAGAATGTAACTCGCTCAATAATGACGCCATGTCGGAATATACAGCAGTCTGGCAACCAGTAGTCAGTAAGTTCTAGAGAGAAACCACGGGCATCCCGATTCCTAAGCTATTATTCGGCCGAAATCAAGCTAGCGCATAGGTAACTGTGCAAAGTGGACTTACCCAGGCCTGATGGCGGATTGTCTGAGACAGCTGGTGTACAGAACATCGTCCCCGGTTAGCTCGAAACCGAGTCGGGTTCGACCAATTACTGCAGCGTAAGCTGTGCCAGTGTGAACAGCCACTCGCAGTTCCAGTTGTACATTCGCCATCTCTGCCAGTTCACTGTGGAGCAGAAAGAGAGGCATTGAGGACATGTGGTTTTCTGTGTATATCAGGTGACATTAGTAGACTAGTGATGTCTGTAAAAGCGGATTGCTACATATCAAGTGGACCCGGATAAGGTGATTTCGCATACACTTGTCTTCGTCTGAAGAGACCGCCCAGATGGGCCGACACAGGAAGAATTTAACGGATAGCAGAAGCCCCTAGACACCAAACGATAACAATCACCTCCTGTATAGACTGCCGACTGCAGCTTTTTGATTCGCAGCAAAAAAAGAGAATCACAGTCATTTAATATATTAATAGCACAGACGCGATTCTTCAAAATCCACGCATCCATCTATTTTATAACCCGCGAACTTGCAGTCTTTACCAACCTTAGCCCTACTTTCAATCATTAATATGCTTTTTTCTTGGCCCATTGATTCATGTCATGTGAACTCACTTGAATTCCGACTCTCAAAAACATTCGGTTATCTTTAGCTCACACAGACATTCGTCTGCCTGCTTACTCCTGCTTAATTTATAAAGGGCTATAATTCGCTCCGCAAGACAATGCTGTTATCACTGTTGGGACTGTGCCCCTTCTGAAATTTTCACTTTTGCATGGAAATAAAGACAAACCTTCCTTGGTGGATATTGGCAAGTTCTTTTCTTACACATTGGCGTAACTTTTGGAGGCATAATTCGGTGAATACCCACTTTACAAACAGTCTTTTACTACGGGTTGGCCGTTCTTCTGTAACTCACATTGGGAAACGGAAAGGGATAAAAATTGATTTTCCAGAACTGATAAGTGCCTTTATTATAACTTATAACATATAATATACCATAATATAATATAGTAAAATATAATAAAGTATATAACTACCCATAATAAAACCTGTTGATAAAGCTAAAGGCTTTGATTACATGCATTGGTAACTGTTGAAGGCTAAAAGACGGTTCATTGTGTCTGCTTTACGTAGAAACTGATTAGACAACATAAGACGCTTCATCAGATTTGTTGCCAAAATTGTCGTTGTTTGCGAGTGCGAAAGAACGGAAAACTTACTCGACGAGCTGAAGCATGTTCAATCCAAAGTCTACACAGGACCGTGCGTGATCCACCCGGGTTTCCGGATACCCAGCGATGCACATATATTCTGCTGAATTTAGCCGCACCCTATAGCAGCCCTCACGCCTCGATATGCGGTCGAAACAGCCGAATAAATCGTTCAAAAGTGAAACAAACTGTTGGCTGGCGACCGAAGCCGTGGGGGAACTGGCGACGACCGAGGCGAGCGAAGACAGACCGACAAGTTCCGCGCTCAAAAAACTGAAATATTAAGGTAAACGAAGCAGAATATGATCTGGTCATCTGTAGCGGGATGAGAGGAAAGCATAAAACTAACTTTATGCTCTAAAAGCGGCCGCCCTTCCGACAACTCTTCATTGTGGTAGTTATGAGGTGTTGCTCCCGCTAAACAAACACGTCTTCATTTTCAGATTCCCAAATCGAACAGTAAACATGTTATACTGGGAGAAATTTTTCAATATTTGGAACAACTGATTGCTAGATTGTCTGTGGCGAGCACAGTCGACCGTCAAACGTAATGAAAGCTTTGCCTCGCTGTACACGGTCCAAAAAGTCAAATTAAAATGTAGAGTTCTTTTCCAGCGAATTCTACGAGGTCCCACCGAAGTAGCCTGGGGAAAGGATGAAGGGGAGTTACCAGCAAAATCTCCAGTGAGCAAAGGATTTGGAAAGCCCAACATGTTAGCCGTATTCCTTGAGGCACGACAGTGATTCATGAGTGAGAGGTAGCCTACCACAAATCGATTGTAGACAGCGTGATGATAGTTCACCGGAAACATAGACACCCGGTAGGTGAACTCTAGCAAATGCCGTACCATGCTAGAGAATAATATCGATTGAAAAATTCAATGGTTGAAAATGAATGGGGCTACTTAAAGGTGACGAGATCCGGAGGAGCAGTGTATTACGGAATGCGGTACTCGGGCAAGATGGGGAACTCGGTAGCTGGTAAAAGTAATGGGTTAGCAAGATACAAAGGAAAGGCATATTTTCCGCAATATGAAAGTCTTCGAAGGTCCGAAACTGACAGGGAAGAATAAATTTCTCAATGGGAAGACGATCGTTCCCGAGACAAATTTCTTTGTTGGGTGTATCAGAAAATTTCAGACAGTATGGCGTGAATACCGAAACACTGGTGCTTATACACTGTCAGAAAGTTCCACATTTGAGTTACAACGTCTAGGTTTCAACGAATCCATTCGGAAAGCATAAATCACCGTGAGAAAAATTCATCGAAATGTTAATGAGACAAGTACAGACATTGTTGTTATTTGTTGTGGTTCATTGGAAAAGAACAAAGAACAATGGAAACGAAGGATGATGCGCAGTTGACATGAAACAAGCCTGACAAAAAGAAACAGCGAAAAAGGTAGTGGAGGGTGTGAAGTACCGATGAGAGTGAAGATAGGGTGGGTGGACACAACCAATACTGGCCACAAACACAGCAGGGACAGCTGCTGAAGTATGATGGAAGGCCGTGAACAAAGCCGTCCCGGAAGTGTGACTCAGGGTCAAGAAAACATGGTAGATTAACACTTCAGCGAAAAAGCCTAGAGTTGTTTTGGTTCTCCCAAAAATCGATGCATACACGGGAAAGCAGTCCAGCGTGGCCGCGCCCTACAATAGACTAGTGTACGTGGAAGAGACTGGGCTGAGAATTTTGCAAGCACACCCTTTGTGGTTGGGTTTATTGAAGTGTGTCGCTTTGGGTGAGTCAAGTTGTTGCGTATAGGTTTCAATTATCTGATTCAATTGATGTTAACCTGGTGTGATCAACCACCAATTAAGCCGTACACATGTTTCTACTTACCGAAGAGAAACGAACATTTGTCCAAAACAGACTAGAAGAATGAAGAAATCAAATCCAGCTTCCTCTCTCGGTGGAAAATACGTGTTTACCCAACAAGGTAAGTGAAGATTGTAATGGAATGGTCTACGGAATGCCTGTTGTTAAAAGCTGAGCTGATTGTGACATCTATGAGGAAGTGGAATTACTGGAAAGGGCGGATCCGGATGTTATGAGCCCGAGAGCAGAAAGCACGACCGCGCCAAGTCGAAAGACGGCAAACAAGTCTATTTCACTGACATCCATTTCCTATTACCGTAGTTGTATTGAATACGGGACAAGCAAACCAGCCCAGAGCCATCAGGATGGCTCAGGATATTATTCGGGAGAACTGAGAATGTGAAAACTCATATTTACTTCATATTACAGACCCCTTCAGGAGAATGATCTGTTCTCAAAAAACTGCCGTGAGACGTTTAGACAAGGTGGTAAAGCCGATCTATTACTAGAGTACGTTGTCGTTGTTGCCTCCGTCCATGAGGGTGATGAGATTTTGTTAGAGTCTGATACCATTTGAATCCCTAAATAACTGCGCTTCTGTTCAAAGTGACGCCAATAACCGGTTGTTGATGAATGTAACCGCCTACAAGTCGGTATGTCATCATCCCTTATGTAGAAACCAAAGCATCCGTTAGACTTGTCAATCGGTCTCTCAAATGCACAAAGCGTATGGACTGACATCACAGACTCGGAAGTCTTCGCAGATTGTCTGGGAAACAGAAATACAGGTGAGTGAACGGGACACCAAACTGCACCAGGCAGAAAAACAGTGGACGCAAATTAGAAACACAGATCGGCTCTGCAGTTTCCACACACCTTGTCTGGTTGAATGTACACGCACATCGGGGCAGCGCGATTCCTCTTTGCTTCTTCAAACGAACTAACATTGGAAACAGGTGGCACAACTGTTCCATTAGTAGGCGGCAGATCGACGATGTGATATCTTTCGTCATCACTCGATTAAACTAACCATGCCAGAGTGTTTGAAACCCGCCACCGAACTAGTTTCAAGGTTGTACATGGATACCACGGCCTACTTGTTGTGAAAGTTGGCTCGTTCCAGACATAACAATTGTTCACCTACCGTACCATGTGGGTGTGGATGTACCCCAGTTTGATAAGGTAGTCACCGGCCATCCGACCAAGTGATAATCATTACCTCACACACAATGAGGTGTGCGCAGACTCTAGTAGACGACGCATTTGCAAATGTACATTTCACAGGTTTAGTCTGTGTGACTGGTCGAATGAATCAATCTTATTGTTTTGTGCACCAAGGTAGCTGGCTAGCTGTTCATGGTCACTGTGTGTATACGGGACAATCAGTAACGTACAAACAAGAAATGAATGTTTTGTCTACCGCTGTAACCAAGGTTTGGAGAAGCAAAAAGAACAGAGTACAACTGCACCTACCCGATGGGCTTCAAAAAGAGCGAAACCGGTTGTGTGCTGTCGAGGAAGTTTCAGCAATCCTGAGTAGTGTTATGTCATTACGTCCAGTAGTTTCAACGCAAGTAGACTCAAGGACCCACGGCGAAACACGCTCTTATCGATTCATCTAAACAGTGCTTATTGTTTGTCCATAAACTACAATCCTTTTTGAAGGGTCTTTTGGTAATTTTGCGGGTCAGTGAACAGGAGGGAAGGGAGAAACAAAACTCACCTAACATTGCGAAGATAAATTACCAAAGGGGAACTCCATCCCAAATAGCCGGCGACAAAATCACGACCAAGCTCATCTGCCAATGGAACTGGCACAAGACTTCTCGTTAGCTGCCCCTGCGTAGATGGGAGAAGAGGTAACAAATCGTTTAGCGATAAAGAGTAACTGCCTATACATACGTACTATGAGAACTCAGCCGGTCTGGTTACTTTCTGTGATGGCGATCGCTTTTACCTAGCATAATGTACTTCAAGTCAATTTTTCCTTTTTCAAGCAAATCTGTTGACGCGAAACCCACGTTTCTAGAGGGCTACTGATAAAGTAAGGGCTTGCATTCGGTCGACCCGGATTTAAAGTCCCATGCCCCCTGGAATCGGTTGTCTGCCATCCTATTCATGTGTTGTACGATTGTTAATCCGTCGAAGATAAAAGTGAAGCGTACTCATGGTAACGCCACACAAAACCGAGGACAAATTACGTGCAGTCAATGCAAAACACTCTCAAAATTCCGTTTCACAGAGTGTTTTGGCTAAAGCACTAACACACTAAGCTGTTTATTTCCAATCAGTAAGGCTTTCATCTCCGTTAGGAAGTTTTAATAAAAAAGAGAGGGAAGGTCTTCAATGTCTTAACCCGTCTTAACACGTCCTTCGAGATTCAGGCTCATATCGCTTTGATGCCACAGGTGTCTCGAATTGGCAAACGCGACCCGAGTCTTGCAGATGCTTGCATTGACTTCATCTGGAAGGTTTAGTGACTGCATATCCAGGAGCATGAAAAAGACGAGATAATTTTGGTCAGTTCATACAAAAACACCAGCAATATTTGACCGCCCATAGTATCGGCATTAGCACTGCATGGGGATTGTGCAGTCATAACCGATGCCGTCATTGAGAGCAACGTCAGTGCTGAATACCGTGGCTCGCTTCTGTAAAATCATGGGACGTTATTAATACATAACTCTACAGTGAAGAGAACGAAATGAGGATCAGCACATGGGAAGTGCAACGCTAACTGACCATCTAACAACGCAGTAACACCCCAAAAAGAGGGAAAAGGCGACAAGTATCTCGCGGTGGACGAATAGGATTCCTTCGCTCAAATGCGTGTTGTCAGTCCACCTGTGGGTATATTTAAGTTAAGAAGCATATCTGTTGTGATAAAATAAGATTGTTTGGACTGTTCGTGTGTCTACGATAAGACATCCAATTGTTTTACTACAAGGAGATAAGATTAACGTCCGCCTCCTTGTGCACCCCAGACGATTATACTAACATTCCAACAAGCCTCAACCTTCCTGCATCGGTCAGTTGACCAAAAACCCACGGATTTCATTTCCATGGCGATTGGCGAAACACTAACTATTACTCCAGGTCCCAAATAACGCACTCAGACAACCAAACTCAACAAAGACGTTCATTAGGACCTGTTCGGTATCGGGCCTTCCATATCACGAAAATGAACGCTGAGCAACAGTAGAACATGGGTGAAATCTGCGAAAATAAAGACTACGCAACTGCGTCCCCCATACCCAAAAAAAATCAGTCGCTGTCGGTCTGAAGCGAAAACAGACATGAAGTTCACACTTCGCCACCGTGTTACGGCAGCCCATTGGACTGATCAAGAGGAGCTGTCTACCTCCGCGTAAGCTAATCCAACGGACCGAGAAAAGCAAGCTTCTTTTGGGAGGGAAACAGACAAAAGTGGCCTCCCAAGAAGTGACAAATGCATGAGGAACCGGTCGCTCTACGTCTTGAAACCAAGCTGACGCAGTGCTGGCCTCCCCCAGTAAGGGCAAAAAAGTCGTCTACAGCTTCGCTGCCAACAAGCGACGGATACCTGCGAGAACCACTGGAGACTGTGGAAAACTTTACATACCTCGGTAGTTGTATTAGCTCTGACGGAAGTGTGTCTGATGAAGTCAGTGCAAGAATCTCAAAGGCTCGAATCACGTTTGCTAATTTGCGTCACTTGTGGCGTCAAAAAGGCATCTCACTGGATCTTAAGGGTCGTGTGTACCAGGCTACAGTAAGGGCTGTGTTGTTCTATGGGTGCGAGACATGGCCTCTTCGGGTAGATGATGTGAGGCGTCTTCAGGTTTTCGACCACCGATGCCTCAGAAGCGTGGCTGGTTTCGGATGGCGTCAGCGTATTAGCAACGAGGCGATTAGAAAACGGGCATTTGGTTGTGCTGCAGGCACCTCAATCCGGGAAAACATCCAGCATCATCGACTGCGATGGCTCGGTCATGTG